AACATCATCGACATCAAACCATGTCTCTGGAGTCTGGATACCTACTATTGGTCCTGAGCTCAGACAATGCAAGAATTGCCCAATCGAGAATGGTTCATGATATCCTTAAGCCATAGGTAAAAATTCTAGGAAATGAGGTTAGCCAACCTTCATGAATAGTACGAGGCATCAGTACTCTCTGTTCAATTCAAGCAAGTCGTGATAACTCATCTACATGTAGTGAATCTGTCTTGCTTCCCAAAGAACCTCTCTCAGTATGGTAGATTCTCATGCACGGCAAGTTTGTAGTCTGCTTGTGCGGTAGGGTGGGTAGTCAATTACTCTATTGATAAAGGTTGCTTTCTGACACACCACCGCGTTGTTTTGTTGATTTCTGGAGAGTATCAAACTTTTGTGCCTGCATTTTTTGACAGTACGCTCCCATAAAACCAACCTGTATCGCAGTCATGTCGGCCAAAGATGTACGAACTTATATCATGCTGGATCTTGAGATAGCCGCACACCCGTTGAAACACAATCCTGCGATCATTCAGATCGGCGCTGTTCATTTTGATATCGAAACCGGCGAGGTCTGGACGACTTTCTCCATAGACGTAAACTTGGAATCTTGTATTGAATGCAGCTTAATCACTGATTCAGATACGCTTAAGTGGCTTGAGAAAAACATTCCGGATACATTGTCTGCTAGCCAAAACAGCAAAGTAGCACTCCAAATTGCTCTCAAAAGACTCACCACCTGGCTCTCCAGTTGCCACAAGTCTAATCAAGTTAGCATCAAAATCAACTATCCAGCTGCGAGATTTGACCCGACCGACCTTCAAGTAATGATCTGGGCATATGGTAGCACACAGGATTGCCGGTGGATGGAAAGTGCCTACAAAGCAGCGGATTTGAGAAAGCCATGGATGTACTTTAACGATCTCTGTGTTCGAACTTACTGCGAAGCGGCTTTCTCAATTACAGGAAGAAATATCCGACGTGAGGTGGACAAATCTTTCGTCGGTAAAAAGCACAATGCTGTCGATGACTGCAAGCATCAGATACTCTACCTGACCAAGTGTCGTGACGCACTTCGAGAGCTGCAGGCCTCTACTATTACTCCAGTTCCTGTTGGACCGACTTCAGAATCTTCAGTGAAACGACCCAGGACTGTATTGGATGACAATCGTTCCAGAATGGGTTTAGATTAGCAGCGAACTTCTGGCGAACTAGGAAGACTAGCATCGACGCCTGCAGGAAGTGGCCGCCATTGAACGACACTTGACTGGAATGAGCTCGACTTCCCATATTGCCATACGGATTTTCCAGTTGATCAAATTCTCACAGATACCCGTCCTTCGCTGGGATTTAGACATTTCTCCTCGAGGGGAAGTAGTTACATATGAGTTGTTGGAACGAATCTTATCTCATGGAAACTATTTATCGTCATAAATTGGGCCCAACGAGTGATGAAGATTTATCGTGGAGCTAGCTAGAACGATTCTAATCAAGTTCTAATACATTCCTCTAGCACACATCGTCATGTGCCACCTGAATATGCAAGTTATCGTTGTGAGACAATTAAATTCCTCTTTCTCTTTATTGTCAGTGATTCCGCTACTGTAAAGTAACTCGCACCTTCCTTGTTTGCCAATGTGCATCTTGCTTCTGATGTACATTTCACGTGGGACAACTACCTACCTAGGTAACCAAAGCCCGAATTCAGATCCCGGGGACGCATTTCGAGTGGGGTAAGAAGGCAAGAAGTTCTGGAGCGTTGATTGGTAATTTGAGATTTATAACACTCAAGAAACCAGTATAAATGTGTCACTGACAGCACATGTGGTCGATATATCGTGTTATTATTACAACTCGTCTCTCCGAACATTACTTCGATTAACAAACACCATTTTGCAGAAGGAAGAATTAACCCGAGTAAAATTGAATAGATTCCATTCAACTATCGCCATACAATAATCATGTCTCATTTAACTTACACCAATTACGAGGGCTACGGACAAAGAGCCAAACAGGATCTGTGGTATAGTCAGGCTGTTAGAGTTGGAGATGTGATTGAATGTTCTGGTCAAGGTTTGTGCTCGTCATTCGACAGCTGTTCACAAGCTCCATTTTCGCTCTTCTTGTTTTACTGACTCATAGAGTATAGGTGGATGGGACCGCGCAACTGAAGCCATAAGCCCCGACGTAGTTCTTCAGATTGAACAGGCATTTGATAATGTCGAGCGAACACTCAAGGTAGCCGGTTCGAAGGGTTGGGAAGATGTGTTTTCCATTAGATCATATCATGTACCGGCGGACGAGAAATCCTTGGAGACAATGGTCAGGTGCTTGAAAAAGTACTGCCCGGATCACCAGCCAGTTTGGACTTATCTTGGGATTCCGAGGCTCGCATTGGAGGATATGAAGGTGGAAATTGAGGTTAAGGCTCATGTGCCCCAAGACAAGAAAGCGTGAATGTTCTTTATTTTGACTCCGCATGTAGCAAATTACAAAAGAGATGATTCACGCTTCGATTTATACAATGATCTATTATTGTGCAAATTACTACTTTTCTCCTCGATACGCAAATCAAAGTTTGATCAACAAGTCTGAAACAATAAGGAAATACAGCAACTCACATCATGGGAACCGCCGGTAAAGCTTTCGAAGCTCTCCAGGCAGGCAGGAAAGCTATCAAGCAAGGCCGTGAATATCATGGCAAAGGACAAGAGATTCTCAAAGGAGCCTGGGAGGTTCATGATAAATTTCAGGAAGTCAATAAAACAGCTCAAAGCTTCGGCATAGATCTACAAAAAGACGCATCAAATATACACAATAATCGTGGTCAGTTCAAAAAAGGAGCCAGAGGCTACGCACGAGGTTTTATCTGTGGGTTCTGGACTATACTCAAGGCTCAAGCTAAGAAGTATATTACATATGTGCTCTCTCTTCTGGTCTTTGCTTTTATCGCTCTCGGTCTTGTTTGCTTCCTGATCGCTGTGCTTTCGCATCATTCACATTTGCAACTCCTTACATTAACAACAAAGGAAACGGTGGTTAATCATGCCACGAAAGGAGAGAATGTTACAAGAGTGGAGGAGATCGTGGACTATAATATCTATCTCTTGCATTATTGTGTCACTGGTCTTACTACGGTAGCTGAGCAGAAGTTTAATATGACAAACGGCTGTCATCACTCAAAGCAAGGTATGTTGTGTTTTGATACCTGTTCATTTTCTCCTGTTTAGTTGATCCAAATTGACTGACGCACATCTGTTAGCATTACATGACCTCATACTACCAGCCCTTAGTACTACCATCATACTCCCACTTTCTGAAAAGAATATCTCAGGTCCCACGGCGGAGATTCAGACTCTTTTCAAACACTATGGATACATATCTTTCTGTCTATATATCCTCGATATCATTCTACTGCCCATTGTTGCAGTAGTATTTATCTGGTGGTTCATTGCTACCTTGACACCTTGGAAGCGAACCTTCAGACTCGTTCTCTACGTAAGTCCACTTCTCTCTCAATGCAACCTTCATGCTCCTTCCTGAATAATTACACCTAACACCACTACTCTAGCTCTTTACATTTACTCTCCTGGTTCCCGCAGTCATCCAAACACTCCTCATCTACCGTGTCGTCCACATCCTCAAAAACGACATCGACTTCACCAAATCCAACCTCGATATCAGTGTCAAACACGGATTCCTCTACATGATCATTGCCCACTTTTTCTGGTGTACACTGCTCTTCAACCTCATACTTTTCCGTCTCATAGATTGGCTTCGAAATAAGAGAAAAGCAAGAACACTTGGCCAGACTCAAGCTTCCTACCAGGCTCAGAATAGTCAAGACTCTTCTGGTTTTCACGAGGGAAATGATGGGATTGATAATACTCTGTACGATAATCAATCTTTCGAGATGAAGAAAATGCCACCTCCAAAGGATTCAAAGGATACAACAAGTATTACGCGAAAGCCAGTGGGGTTGCAGTATGATAATATCGACATAAATCACGGTAATGGTGATTTGGCAGAAGGAAACCCAAGGCGTAATATTGATTTTGTTCATGAAAATCGGAAGAATAACCGAGATTACATGGGGGAAAGAGGAGTTTGATGATGTACTCTGTATAATAGTTAGACATTAGTCTTTTAACCACTGCGGCTAGACTCATGGGATAGAGTAGAACTATGATGAGAATATAATAAAGTAATTTATGAGTATTCGTCTATATATTACGACACATTATTCGTTAGTCATTTGAAATTATAGATAGAATACAGCGTTGATCTTACATATAAGATTTCTATCATTTTGACAAATCATTTTCCAGTCCATCTACTCTCCTTGGGGTACAATCCCAGTCACTGAATGGAGCCATCTGAAGGAACTGTTGTATTAGGCAGCATATCTGATCTGCATACGATCACTCAAAAAGCTAGGATTATCCATTTCTAACCGCCGGTTTTTGACAAATTTTAGATTTCACGAAGCAGTGCCTGCATGCTCGGTATATACACAAGTACATGATGAACATCTTGCGAGACTAAACAACACTATCTAATGACAGAAAAACGGTTTATATATATGGTTCAAAATGACCTTCTTTGGTGCGTATGAGTGATCAAATAAGAATGAACTTCTTCTGCCGTGGACGAGTACTCTAACTATATGATCATAAGACAGAGCAGCTCATGTACTACGTCTATCGAGCCCCCCCCCAAAACGATGCTGACCTGTTTTAGATTGATGACAAGATATCAAGACAGGTGTTCTGTGCGGCTACACAATACAAATCTTTTCCAAAAAGCAAAAACACGAATTTCTTCAATTTTTGGGATTTTGGGAATTATTGACTAAATAAAAATTGATCAAAAAGGTGGCAAGAATTTCTTAGTGGAAAGTGGGCTTACACCTTCCTCCCTCTAAAAGCACTCGTAATACTTTTCAGAAGACCTCTTCTCATACTTCGGAAAAGGCATACCACAAAGCCAATTGGGTTTCGGTCATGGAGAAAATCAAACTAGCTCTACTCCGATGCAATAAGTTCATCAAAACCCACACTTTTTGGCCCAGAAATTCGGATCAGAATGATTACGAGGAGGATTGCTATGCGGTCTATATGCTATTGGCCAGCAAGAATATCACCAGCGTAATCTGGCTCGAAGATCTTCTTTCTCCATGGTAGTAAAACTGCAGTTTGGGATCTTCATCTCTTGGTTGAAGACACTTGTGCGGGAGCAAAGGTTCTTCTCAATAATGGGTACAAAGAAACAACACCAGACTACAGTTTTGAAGACGATCCAGAATTTAATGAGCGTGCGATTCGACTTATTCACAATCCATCTTCAACTATCGTAATGCTGCACGCCGTCAAAGAATGGTATTACCAAATGGATGATAGCGTGCAAGACTTCCTCCCACCACTCTCCAGCTTCCTCGATTCAGTGATCGAATTTTGGCTCGATATATCTTCTCAGGACTACGATCATCGTTTGCGGTTTGCTCTTTATATTGGCTGTTTAATCGGTTACTGCTATTACTTGCAGGATTTAGATGGCCAGCTGGTCAAGACTCATGCATACGCCGAAAATCTCAAGCCAGAGCATCGCGAGGTTCATTATGACATTAAGTTCGAGAGCCCCAGCAAGAAGAGTTTTACGGCCACTAATCGACATGCATACCATGTGAGACGGAGCAGAGAGATCAGAGAAGGTGGTTTCGTACCAAAAACATATGAGGAGGGGGGTGTTTAGAACCAATCTGACGACAGTTTCGGAGCAAGAATAAGATTGAGGAGCATGTATATTATTTCACCTTGATATCGTGGTTTAAGTTGCATAAAAGTCCCAAGAATATGGCTTGATACTGCTCTTATATTCTCCAATGACAAAATTTGTCATCCATACCATCATTCCTACACCTGGAAATGTCTTGTGCAAGCACTGCCGGCCGCAAGTAAAAGTCATGGCTGACGTCTAGACGTTGAAGTTGTTTCTTTCGAAATCTCAATTAGCTGCCTGTCGGCCAGTCTTTTACAGCTCAAAACCACGAGTGGTTGTGACCTTCTCGTGCCAATTCTGACAATTGATGGAACAATTGATGTCCACTTTTGCCTTTCAAAGAATACAACTATGAATCAGCTTAGTCACCTCGTTTGTCCTGCTTTTAATTGTATAAATTTCCACTCTCATTATTACGATAAAGTCTCTAGTGTCTCGTCGGGAAGACGAATGGTAACATGTTTCGCTATCACAATTCAATAGTCTCGATTTCAACCACCTTCCCCACATCGAAAGTATATACTTGACTCCTTATGTAGCCCTTCTGATTTGCCACAATTCGTTTCCCTGTTCCTTCTTCCCTAAAATCGCAATTGTAGTGAGTATGCCCAAACGCCCAGAGCCTGACACCTGAACTCATCCAACATATCTGGTCCGAGAGATCTGTGACAAACGCAGATCTGACTTGATTGGAATCTTCAAGCTTCTTAGGATCATTGGCAGCCTCAAGCATTGTCGGGCTGAAGTGTGTGAAGACCATAATCTTTCGGTAAGGCTCATCTCGTGTTATCTGCTCTACTTGAGCATTCAACCAGGTAAGATCTTCCAGATGAGAAGCGTTATGAGCATCAATATTTCACTCCAATGTCTCTGAGAGATCGGAGCAGAAAAGCGATACAGATTGACGTTGCTCGTTGTTGATGTGAGAGAAAAGAGTGCAACCTAAAACGGTCAAACTGTCCGTAATATCAAATCTCGTTCGGCTGAGAAATACAAAATGGCCCATTTCCACACCCTCCTCGCGATATTCATCCATTGTACGTTGAAAACGCAGCATAGTTGCAACGGCGGCCTTTACTTTCGTTCCGTATGCTTCATCATTTCCTTGGACGAAGAAAACGATCTCGAATACCCGCAATTGGTTTTCGAGAAAAGTAAAAAGGTCAAATCGAAGGTATGAATCATTCCCCAGGTATGAAGATAGTTGCAATGAATTGTTGTCATATTGTCGAACAAAATAATAGACGCGGTGGTATGCTCAGTAAAAGTTCAGGGCTATAAGGCCTATAATCTACAGGAAGTCACAGGGCTTCAGAATAACTACAGGCCGGCACGTCAACTTCATTATCTTATTGGCGGGACTCACGTGCTACTGAGCGCATCGCTGGGCCCGTGCCACAAAGACCTTTTCTGAACATTTGTGTTAACTTCTCGAATGTCGCACGAGAAACAACCTCTGCGATAATCGTGGCTATGTAAGCAAGTCATATCGAATGGAACGTATTGTCCTATGGGTATGGTTTACGCTTAAAATCCCTTGTTGCTTCTTTGCTCACTTATAGGTTCAATTGCCGCGTTTCAAGCTCATGGTTTAAAATGCTTGCAAACCCCCGATCCAGGCGAAGCGCTTATTCGGACCAGACAAGTGTCTCTCATCCAATGATGCTCTTATGCTATACAATACCTTAAATCTTAGCTTGATGGCGCGTTTCTTCTTTGCGGCTCACATACCAAGACTATAATGACTGGTCTTCAAAGATTCAATCTTAAATATGGTCGCTTCAGAGACTACCGACCTTGCAAACGACCATGTCAAGCGGACTGTTTCCCATTGGCAAACTCAGCGCATGCCAGTACACTTGGCCGTCTCATGAATTTATAGAGTCATGACATGATCTACAGAGCATCATTTGGAAATCTAGATCGATGGTACAAAGGTTCTGGGCTCTTGGAGTTGACAGTAAGAATGTGTAAGTATGAATATTTAAGATCTGTATTTCCTCAGTTGTTTGCTTCCATCATCCCAACAACCACTCTTTTCATCTACTACAAAATACCTCTTTCCCTCTCTCTCTTCTTTTCTTTGACTAGAATCAGACTTCAAGACATTCTCTTCATACCAATCATATCATTCTTTGCTGCTAGATCAGCCTAAAACTTTCACTTCTTCACCAATTCGAGCCACTTCCAAGGCTGAATAAGATATTCTCTCTTCGACTATTATCAGAGACGCAGATTCCATTTACTCTGCTATTCAACACTTGTCTACTGAAAGCCCTCGATCATTATTGTATCGTCTTCAGTCCATTCTCGAATACTCTCACCCAGCACAATGTTTTCACCCAAAGGTCAAGATTATGGCTCTTTCGGTTTCGCCTTTACCATCACTCGGGCTTTACAAGCTATTTGCCTGATTTGCATCCTCAGTATGTCTGCAAATTTCATCGCAGAGATCAATTCGGTCGACACAGCTCCCCCATCAGTTATCATTGCAACTCTCAGTATTGTATGTCTTCCTCATTCTCAGACATCTTCTCAACTCTTACTAACCTCTAACAGGTTGTGATTGTGGTTGTATTTCTTCTTATAGGCTATCTTCTCTATCTTGAGCTCCAACTTAGCTTCCTCTTGGCCACTGCATTCGATGCAGCGGCTCTCATTGCTCTCATTGTGGTTTCTGTGAAAGTCGGAACGCCGCTTTCTTATCTAGAATGCCCTGCCCTTCCCAATGTTGGAGTGACTTCGGCATTTGTTGAATCAGCTGTCGGAAATTTCTCCAAAGCCAACTACTACTTTTGGGTCGGTGCGTCGAAGACGGCATGTTACGAAATGAAAGCCATCTGGGGATTCAGCATGGCACTTTGTGTGCTGTTTTTCTTCAGTGGCATCATCAACATGTGCATATGGAAAAAGAACAAGTTGGTTACGTCGAAGAGAGATTTGGAGTATCAAGGTTAAACTAATATGGAAAAAAGTAGATAAAAGGGTAGCGGTACATAGACGGGAAGAGTTGATCGATGTGTAGCATGCCTATTCAAAATCGGAAATAATGGGTATTATGATCATGATAGCAAGCAGAAAAACTGGGATGAGAGTAAGGATGGTTGTCTCGACATACCAAAACTTTCGAGATTTGGTAATGAATCAATAGCACAGAGGGTCGGCGAGGGATATAGGATCATTAGGTTAAAGAAAGGAGGCGGGGTTTCTCTGGTACCATGAAGGAGGACGTATTAGGTGGACAAAATTACTTCTCATGGTTGGGAGGTTTTCTTCTGTTGGCATGGGATCGTTCGGTTAATGTTTGTTTTCATGTTTTGGGATGCAGTAACCTTAATCGTCTGAACCTTAATGAATATACAATTATCTGGATTTCATACATCGCCCATAATGCTTGCTGCATTCTATAAGTGAAAGGATGAAACGTACATTCTATCTTCGAGTCGTTGACTTCTCATCTGGCCTGGCTCAATCCGGGTTCAGAATCCGGAAACTAGCTTCGCCCACCCCCACCCCGCCATTTGACCCGTCAAGTGTAGGTAGTATTCCGGACCATTAGCTTCGCGGATCAAAAAAAAATAATTCTTCAGCCCCGTCCCATGTGTATAGTTGCTACGCCATATCCGAGCCGGTATTATACATTTACCCAATTGTACGAAAACCCAACCGAAGAATGATTCATTCGCCAAACATGACATAGGTACTCATTGGATCCCAAATGATTTGGAATATCCATCGCCAAGCGAGGCAGGGTAAACGTAATGTGTACCACGTACTACAACACAGCACAGCACAGCACATATAGAACAGGATCAAGGCTTTGGGAAAAGTCATTGGTACCAAGAAGCAAATCGTGCTCTCGTCTGCACACCATCTGTTTGGGTGTGGCGGTAAGATATGCGTCATGACATGGTGGGTATTATGATTGGATGAATGGAAACCATTGTGAGATCCTACAAGCAAACGGAACTCCGCGAATCATTTAGGGTTGGACATGTTGGGTGTGGAATTGTTTGATAGAGTCGTGAGGGTGGTAGGTAGATAGATGCCTTTTTTGAAGTATGAGAAAGGGTAGAATCTTTGGATTGTTTTTTTTTTTTGGAGGAGACAAGGCGGCTTATACTTTGCTTTTCTCCGGAAGAATCTTATCATTTTCTTCTTGAAGAGTGCTTGTTTAGCGATCTTATAAAATTAGCTATACAATCGATTTTTCGGGATTAGTTTTTCATTCATCCCAATGCGAATAAATCGATACCCAGCTTTTGACAAGCTTTAATCAATTATCGTTTCTTTTTTCGAACTCTTTTCGAAAGAATATCCTTAGCTAAATCCTGCTTTGAGAAAAAAAAAGAAAAGGTGTGAAAAGAGGCCTGTGTTGTATGGAGTGTACGTAGTAGGTAGTACGACGCATCAGTCAAGGAAATTTAGATGCTGTTATTAATGGAAGAGGCGTCTTCCGTTTCTAAACGAGGATCAAGGGAATGAATAACTATTGAATCCTGAACCTCGATTCTTGAGGAGCAATAACGATCTGGGTAAGAATTATATCATACATGTTGAAGATGACCATTGAACTCACCTGCTGATATGACAGACTGTATCTCCCCAAAAGCCATCAACCAACCATGGGTAGCCGTAACTTTGCACTCATACATACCATCTTCCATATCATCGGTACCAATAAGAAATATTACAGGGGAGACGGTAACTATTTCTCGGTAGTAGGGTAGTACTGTAGTAGCACTCCATTATAGGCTAACACTTAGCCTGGCATCCCAAAAGTCATAGATCCGTATGGACCTAAAGTCTTACATTAACCTTACGAGTCTGCCACCTTGTACAAATCAGCGGGCAAAATTGATTAACCATTTTCAGCTGCGGTCAAGATGGGCCAATTACACCTTATCTTACTTCTGGATGATATATATCCATAGTGATACCAATATGGTCTAGTAGTAAGTCAGAAGCTGGGTGAATATATACTTCTTGTTCCTACTGCGCCTCTCTTGAAGTATTGCTCTCCATCTTTATCCAAGGTATCAAGAAAGTCTATATTGATTTACCATCTCAATCTTCATTCTGCTATCGTCGCAAATATGGCCAAAACAATATTCACAACGATTACACCCCTCCCTCCCAATATATCCCGTCAAACCGTCCTCGACACCCTCCACGATCATCTCGAAATGATCGATCTCAATCCATCCCATGCCGAACGCACACCCACCAAGCCCCCTTCCTCTGCCACCCCGGAAGAATATCACTGTCAATGGTATCGCATTACCGACAGAATCGCCTATCTACCCGGTAATCTCTACACCGGCACCGTATCCTTCAACGCCTGTTTTCACGATTTGGCAAATGGGCTACAAACACATTGCTATGCGCCCATGGGTCTAGATATCAAGGAAAAATGGACGATTCAAGGAAACATGCCTGGGGAACCAGCTATTCCGAGAGAAATTGGTATTAATGCGCCGGTGGAGGGACTCTACATCCGAGAAGATGTGGAGATGAAATGCAACATTCTGATGACGAGATTCGTGCGGAAGACATTACAGGAATGTTTAAAAGCGCTGGTGGCTCGATTAGTAGTAAAAGCGCAATTGCAAGAAGCGCATGAGAGGAATAGGAGATTAACGGTTGGAAGCGCAAGTGGATATGAGAGGGAAGGTGATACGATGACGCCGCCCTTGAGCCCTCCCTTGAGGAGCCCAGGAATGGCTTCGGGAGGTAGCGTTGGTAGGAGAGGAAGTGCATATAGCGGATTGAGTGTCCCGACGAGTCCTCCATTGACTCCTTACAATCCGGAGAAATGGGCCGAGGCGGGCATGAAGGGCCATCCGGCTTTAACCCCGTACACACCGCTTCAATTGCAGCAGCAGCAACAACAGCAACAGCAATTACATCAGATGCATCACGATAGAAAGAGTTATGGGGGACGAGATCAGAGATGGTCGGGTATTAGTGATAAGACACAGACCTCCTTGCCCGGCCCTCCAAACTATGCGAATAAACCTGTCAACTACACGAATAAACCTACCAGGATCTCCGAAATGGAAGCGCCGCCCGGTCCTGTTGAATTGCCGTAGGTGAAGAAGGAGGAGGAAATTTGAAGAAGAAGATCTAGAGGATAATTATCGGTAATGGATGGGAAGAATCGCTTGATATGGTTAATTGGAGAAGGAGGATTATCATCGGAAAAGAGTTTATGAGGTTCAGGGAAGGAGTTTGATACCACTTACCAATACCGAAGCATTTGCTTCGAAGGCATACCAGTTATGTGATCTTAATACTTCCAAGACAGACATATGCATCGGACTGTCGTTTCAGGAGGCCATGGAGATAGATAAGTCACCATGATAGGAATGGAAAAAAGGGATCGGCGCAACAAAAACTAGCCGTTCCTTTAGTGTGTTAGCGGGGCGCCATGTGATAGCACGTTTTTTAACTGTACATTAATGACGATTCATGACATTGGGAGGAAAGAATCTGGGTAATTTCGACATATTTGGAATAGTGGTCAGTTAAGTTTGTCGAATTTTGGTATTTATATCGGCGTAAATATCATCCCAATTTAAGCGTGAGCAATCTTCACAGGAAGTTACATGTTTTGCAAAATTTTGAAATTCACAATAGTGACGTTCAAGTTCCCCATGTCTCAGAGGTCGGCTGTGAACAAAATGAACAAATTTTATTGAGGATCTATGTGTACAAACAAGCCCCGCATCATACACGCTCATGCCCCAAACACCTCTAAATTCCTATCTACGATGCCATTCTGCTCATGTCGTTTCTTATACGTTGGTAATCGAGGAGACCTAAAAATGTCAGTAAATAATTCAAAGAAAAACAATGGAATAGAATGTTGCGAGGCATACCTTCAATCGAACCAACAGCACTAATTGCAATATCTTGATCCCACAACTTTCTTTGCGCAAAGCTCATAACATCCTTCTCGCTAATGGCTCCAATAACACGCTCAATCTCCTCTGGTCCCATACGACGGCCAGTGGTGATGATTTGTCTTCCGATATCTTCGGCGACGGCAGTGGTGCCGTCTAAGGAAAGGAGAATGGATGCCTTGAGTTGAGCCTTGGCACGCTCAACTTCGGCCTCGGTAACGTTATATGATAGACGAGACCATTCACGGAGAGTGAAATGAACTAAATCGTCAATACGGGTGGTCTTGTCGGTGACAAGGTAGATACCCCAAAGTCCAGTATCGCTATAACTTGTTGAGAAACTCATAAAGCTGTTGGCCAAGTCGTTCTTGTGGACGAAACCGCTGAGCTTGCTACCCATGTGAGGAGCATTGCCCATAGCCTTGTCCCAGTTACCGACGATAGCTTGGGTAACCAAAGCGGTAAAGTAATCATCATCTTTCCAGCTGACACCCTCGACAGCGATGGCAATATTGGCAGTTGGTATGGTGTCGTCACGTACTCTGACCTCAGAACCAATGAATTCTGGCTTTTGCTTTTGGGCGTTGGCAATGGCGAGAGCAGCGCTGGAATGTGGTTGAGATGCAAGACCAGCAAAGTGCTTCTCAGCGAGATCAACGAGTTGCTGGTGGGGAACACCTCCGGCACCAACAAGAACCATACGATCAGCAGTGTAGTTTGTCTTAATATAGTTGGTCAAGTCCTCTCTTTGAATGGATTGGATGTTTTTAGCGGGTCCCAAAATGGTACGTCCTAAAGGTTGTCCTTGGAAAGCAGTTGCGTGTAAATGATCGAAAACGACTTCCTCCAATTGCTTATCAACCTCCTCGGATTCTCTCAAAATAACATCACGCTCTCTGTTAATCGCTGAAGGTTCGAGTTTCGAATTTTGGAGAATATCGGAGAGAATGTTGACAGTTGCTGGCACGTCAGAGTTGAAAGCCTTGGCGTAGTAAACTGTGTTTTCACGCTTCCATAAAATTAGTAAAGTCCCCGCGCTATTCAGATGATTGTAAACATACGGAAGTGTAGGCATTCAAGTGGCCACCCATGTTCTCAATTTCTAACTCCAATTGATGCTGCGTTCGGTTGCTGGTTCCCTATTCTCATTGTAAGCTCAATTGAACTTTCCGCCCCCGACTGAAGTATACCTTGAAGGCAAGATGTTCCAAGAAATGAGCAGTGCCATTAGTCTTGTCGGTTTCTGCCCGAGAACCGGCATCGATCCATACACCAACTGTCGAGGTTTGTGCCCATGGCGAGTGTTCTGTAGCGATCTTTTCTCTTATCAGCACTTTGCCCCTCCATCATTCATACTCAAAACTTACTGTTAGACCGTTTGAAAGAGTTGTGGTCTCTGTCTTGACGCCATTTTTTGTGACTGGAGTCGCGAATCCTCTTCTCAGTCCAGATACGACATTTGGAGCAGCGCGAGTGCGCAGTCCTTTTGTAAGGTTTAATGCTAACCGCCGAGACGCCATAGGGATATGATGTGAGGGTTGTGGTGGAAATAAAACAAATTGAAGATAACCCGATGAGTTCAAATTACTAGAATTTAGTAAACCTGAAGAGCTTAGTCGTTGATCATATTTTAACCAATCAAATTTGTTCCGGCTTTGATGACCTCACACGTGACTTATTGCCGAGCCACCTAGTTATTCCGAACATCATCGACCGAGCATTGAAGGACCTGAGTGATATGTCGTCGACTCTTTTACACTCAATAATTGTAATAGACATTCACAATGGCTTCATTCATCAAACCATCAATCATTAGGCAGACTTGCCTCGCGGCGTCGAAGCGCAATTTCTCTACAAAGATCCCCTCCAGCTTCCCCGCAATCAACAAGCCCGCTGGTTGCAGTACTTTTGTTCGAGATGCATTGCCAGGTTCAATGCGTGTAGCGGCATTCCATGCAAGTGGCAGACAATCAATTCTACCCCCGTTACCTCGTGAGCTTTCCGCTATTGATATGCCATAATTCTATTGCTAACTACTTATAGAATCTATTGATGGAACATGTATGTTGATCCGCCCTCGAGCCACTCCACCATATACTAACAGACTATATAGCAAACGACGCAGCACCCGTACCTAAGCCATCCCCATCCCACGGCTCCTACCATTGGACTTTCGAGCGTTTAATCGCCGTTGGTATCGTTCCTCTCACAGTCGCCCCCTTCGTTACCGGATCATTGAATCCAGCTACCGATGCTCTTCTTTGCGCGGCTATTCTTATCCACTCACATATTGGTTTCGAGTCGTGTATTATCGACTATTTCCCCGCAAAGAGAGTGCCAAAAACTAGAGCGTTATTTTGGTGGGGCTTGAGGGGAGCAACTGTTTTGGTTGGAGTTGGATTGTATGAGTTCGAAACAAATGATGTCGGAGTTACTGAGGGTATCAAGAGAATTTGGCGCGCATAAGAGGGCCGGGAGGAGTTTGTACTATTCAATGAGCAGCGTACGCGCAGTACAATATCAAGGCTGTCCAACACACGTCGCTTTGAGTTCTGTCAAGTGAGATCGCCATTTGCCTAGAATCCCGAGTGTCTGTACATCAAAATACGGGTCTCTTGTGGTCTTTGTTCAAGCTTGAAAAGTAACCTCAAAGCAAATTATATCAGGAGAGAGTGACGCTAGTTTCTTAAACCTCTGCCTTGCCGAATTGCTTTACTAGAAACACTATACTCACATCGAGCACCTCACTACGTTCTGCTTTTGGTGACATACCTTTGCATACATCTCGTCATTAAGAAAGCACATCTTCAGTATAGGATACTACGTGTTGCTAAAATCTCGGAAGCCCGACCCAGAAAATGTAAAATAGGAGGCAAAACAACATCTCATTCGATCGCCAGTATTTTATGCAAAGTTGGTTTGTTTGACTCGACACACTTTTATGAAAGGAGAGCAGGAGATCATTGGGAAAATGGTCAGAAAACCAAGTCAATTATTTTTGGGCATTATGGAGGTGGAGCTCCCGCTCTGAATCTACTTTCTGGAGCTGTCAAAATCAATCATAACTATACAAAAAGCGTTTCTTGAAAATCACAATGCCCAATCTCACTGTGAGACGCGACTTAAAGTAAGCAAAGAAGAGTGGAGAATAGAGTACGAACAGCATGGTTCAATTGAGGGAAGCAAAATTCAAAAAATTGAAACCAGGTAATGTAAACGATCCTGATTTCAATTCAAACCAGACGAACTGAGTTCTTCAATTAACAAGGTCTTCGGATGTTAAGCAGCGGTCCCGTTTGAGGGGGGATGTGAAGACCCAGTGCGTTACCACTAAGCCATCTGGACTTTGTTTCTTGGTGAAGTGATATGGGTTGTTTATGTTTATGTAGTCAAGCGAGGTGCCTCACTTTAATATGTTCTGTCACTGTGTACCTCTGCTAGTTCTGCTAGTTGTACTAGGACTAAGTCCGCACTGCCTCATGCATACTGAGCCACAGTAAGAATACCCGACAAGTTCATCGTATTCTCATTAATCAAGTTTTCGATTTTGCTTTATCACTGCCATATTTTTGAAAAAGACCCTACTAGCAAGAAAGCATTATGCCACAAAATAGAGTATGGGGACTGTTCATTTGGGTTCTAACTTGAAAAAATAAAAAACTAATGTGACTCTAGCTCTCCCCTTCGACCTGTCTAACTCCCACTCCATTCCAACGTCTCTCTCCATTTCCCACAGAACCCCTCACCACCAATAAAAATATCGATTACGATTGGTATGGGGGTTTCGATCATCACAAAATACTTACTGAGGCGACTTCTCTCCTCTCTACCCACACTTCTCTCTCAGCTTCATGCGTATCCTCTACCGTTTCCGACTTCCTCGATATCGCTCGGAAATATTGCAATGAGTATGAGAGAGTTCCAACAGAGGCCTGTTGGTTTACTATCCGTCTCACCAAACCAAGTGATGTTTTTGTGATGCCTAGATGGCATCAAGATGGGAGAATGTTCGACTGCACCTGTCTTCATTCTCATTCGGGACGCGAGGACGAGGGATCCAGTAGCGACCCTAAGAAGAAGAAGGCAATTCACAGTAAATACGCCACCACACTCCTTGGCCCTTGCACTAGACTGCTCCCATGAACTCCTCTTGTTAGAAGTAGCATGGTCGAAGTCATGGGTTTGAGTCGTGAAGAAGAAAGGATTCAATTGGCAAAGCGGTTTGAGAATGAAGAATGTGTTAGTTTAGTGGTGGGGGATATAATTCGTTTTACTTGGGGAGATGAAGATTCACCGGTTCATTCGGAGCCGGATATCAGTTGCAGTGATAGAGTGTTTGTTAGTCTGATGTTTGGCAGTGAAGAGGAGCTTAGGCAAATGTGCAAGTGGCGGGATATGGAATTCATAGAGTAAAAGATTGATTTCAGATGAAAGAGTCCACGACCCTTTTTACTTAAACTCACTTCACTTTATCAAAAATGTCCCTTGTCTTCAATAATACAGAAGCCGATAAGACAGACAAAGCAGTTACAGCTGGAGGATATGTCGGACCTCCGCATTCGTTGGAAGATTCTATAAAGCTCATTTCTTGTGGAGAAGAAGAAAAGCAAGATGAGTAATGAGTAAGGTGCGCACCATGGGCAAGTGGAGTGATTTGAATTTTTGTCTGTAACTGACATGTTCATGAAACTATGGAATCAGGAGCCGACATAACCCTTGCTGCTACTCTCAGCAATCACCGCGAACTAAACTCCATACTCCTATCCCAAACTCAATACACGATCAACATCAGGCGAACCTTCCAGCAATACGCTTTTGTTTTTTATGCGATTGTCTGAGTGTTGCAGGCTTAGAATTCGAAGGAACGGGTTCGAGAGTCTGTTCATTTTTCTGGGCTTGTCTGTTAGATTTATGGCCTGCTTCCATCTCGGACTTTGAGGTCAAGGTAGAAGTGATTTGTAGCGCGGGGCTTGCGAGTTTGCGTTTTCGGGAATCGACGACATTAGGGCTCAGTTTCGTTTCTTGGCGTGGGGGTAGAATGATGGGAATGCCATTTCCATCTAATTCTTCTTCGTCTTCCGCACCGTGTACAACTTCCAATGCCCGTCCCATCGAAATATTGGTCATTGTCATTTCATTCCCACTCCGAGAACCTGGAGTCTGTAGCCCGCTCTCATCATCTTGATTCACAACCTCAGTACGCGTATGCCAAAGTTGCATGTTAACATTCATTTTAACTTCTAAACCCTTTGGAAGCTTTGGAAGCGAGAAGTCGAATCCGGAGAGAAGAGCCTTGGTCGTGCGCTGGAGGAGAGATTCCTATTTTTGTTAGTCAGGAAAGTTTGCTTGTGCAGGCATAAGTAGTTCAAGATGATGCGCAGATACAAAAAATGAAGTATCAGATCAGAGGCAAAGAAAGAAAATTTCATTGCAGATTAAAAGACTTACCAATTCAGGCCCTTCATTTGTCTCATCCAACTTCCGTTCAATAGCAGCTAATTCCTTGGCTTGATCCCTCCGACGTGCAAGCCGCGATTGATTTTCGAAGAAAGCAACGAGTCCCTCTTTAAGAGTGGGCTTTTCTATACCGGCATCTGTGAGTTTCGCCAAAAGCTCTTTGACAGTGAGCTTGTTGAGATCCATGCTGCTTGGTTAGTATTTTATGGCGCAAGTTGAGAAGGGAGAGGTGAAGATGGATGATCGTGTATTCGTATTTTCCTTGCTTGAATGAATGCATGAATCTTGGTGATTAAATATATGCTATGCGGTAATTGAAAATCAAGTCGAGGATCTGTTTGTCATTAAATAGATGAGTGAATGGGAAAGCCGTAGGATTAGCGTTCTTGTGAGTTCTTATTGTGCTGTAAAGGTGAATTCGCCGCAATGAAGAGAGCCAATGAGATGAGATGAAATGCCACAAGTGAATCGAGCGGAGTTGCTTTGTGGTAATTTAAGACTTTGGAGTTGACTTATAATACTGGGAGAGGTGTAATAGCTTATTTTTGCTTGGGAAGACTAGCTGGCAGCTAATGCGGTAATAGCCTTTTCCAGATACATAGAACTCCAGAACCATAGAGGTTCTGAATGGTAGAAAGAAATATTCAAGGCTCAAAGAGGCGCAGTCAAGTACATATCTGCAATAAGGATATATTGTTTCAAGAAAGACAAATCACATTTAGAGGTGATCACTAAAACAGGCTGCACATTTGTATCTTTCTACATTATTTTTATCGGAGATATTCTATCATAAAATCAGCTATAATGAATCACTGACACCAATATCTTTAATTTCTTCAGAAGAGTGAAATTACGCCTCTATAGACTCAGTGCATTATGTTGAGATGACTCGACTTGCCACAATCCGCAACTCCTTCGCAGACAGCATCGTAAACACTTACATCTATTTCCACCAAGGCACCAGAGTTCAGGGGTATAATCGCAACAACTTTAACGGACAGATTTAAGGCTCTATCTACAGATTGCCGAATTGCCATGTATGGTTTGTCTTCCCTTGGTTCAGGCACAAAAACCTACTTGAGTAGATTTCATCTCAATCCAATCCTAAGCGAGAAAAGGCCTAATTCAACAAGACTAAACCCATCTCTCTACCATCTCAAACCACAAACATGTGTGAATAAGCTGATCTAAGCTATTAAATATTAAGATAGCATCAAATGCATCGATATTTGACCATAGTACCTCCACTCACCCACCCAAACTTCATTGATAAGAAAATGTTCGTTGACGACCCCCCCTTTTTCCCAATACCATTGTAATCCAGTAGTCCAAGGAACAGGCACTCCAATTTTTGGTTTGCTAGCCCATATTTATCACTCACAAAAGTATCAACAAGTACACAATATCATCTCAACATTGTTGATCCACAACAAAGTTCCATCACCCGGCCGATGTCTCGAGTGACTAGTCTTCCCAAAACCAGATCCTCTTCAACTTTTTCAAATCAACTTCTTAACAACACCACACCACAACATCCAAACCCACCAACAACCTTTCAAGAAAAGTAAGTCTTCTTTCCTCTAGCCTTACAATTACTTGATATTCTTGCAAGTAATTATTGATGAAACTCTTTCTTGTCACAAGTAAAAGTTTCACACTCCTTCACACTCGTTCATTGCATTCTTACAATCCATGCTCTAGACTGCAAATTACTAACGATAAATAAAATACAGCTCACACAATCACAAGCTTTCGACGCACACTCAAAATGACAGACCCCTCCCCCTCAAAAGTATTGGACCAAATGGAAATCGACACCACCTCCACCGCCGTCGACTCCACCCTCTCCATAGACTCCACTCCCACCAACGCAACCGCCGTCGCCGCTGCTGCAGTCCACCAATCAAGAACCCCCTTTGATAAATTGCTCGCTGGATGGCAAGCCAAGAGAGATGAAGATTACCACTACAACGTCATTCCCATTCCCGATCTCCTCCGCCATCTCAGAGAGCGTGGTATCCAAGTATCCTTCAGAGATGCAATGGTTGCTATGCTTCTTGTCGATGATGAAAACCGTGCTTTGGCTAGCCAAAATTTTCATTTCACGCATGGTACTGCTAATTGTTTTGTTGCTGAACATTCTAATCTCGTGTACGAGGAAGAATATGCAGAAAGCGAAGTTGGAGATGCTTCACCAGGTCGCCAAGCTCAGGTCGATGATGATCAATCTGGAAATGAGCAGGTTGATAAGGCGGACATGATGGAAGTTGAACAATCAGAGCTTTCCGTAAGTCACATACCCTACTTGCATTAAATGAGGCGAATAGCATGGACGACTTACTGATGCTCAAACACACAGTCCGATCATGCTACACAACATCAAGCCTCCGAGGAGCTTTAGACTCTCCATTCGAACAACCAATCCCATTAGCTTGAGAGAAATCTATACATCCCCGAACTTTCATCTTGGATTGAGCCTATTTTCGTGGGGCCAGCGGTTCGAGCAATTCAGAATTTTCGTTTAAGGATATGGACACTTCTCAGATGCTACGAATATGGAATTGATAGTTACTATTGGGATCAACGGAAGGAACACGTTTTTCATAGGATACACATTGGCGCAATTGAGGTTGTTTTATTTTCTGAATACAAGGAGTTCATGTACCCCAAATGCGGGGGATCTACACGCATCTCCCTTAGCAGTTCTACTAGTCTAGCAGTTCTACTAGCCATAAATAGAGTTTCAATCCACAACATTGACCTGATTTCTCGAATGTGGCAAAGCATATATCAAATCATGACATAAGAATGATAAGATAGGACTCGAGAACCTCAGTCATACCAACCAAAGATCAAAATGAAGTGTGTAAAATGACACGAAAATCTCCGGCCAAAAATGAATCACAATGATAACCATGATCCAGAAGCTCTAACAGTTGCTCGCTATCATAATCATAAGACAAATTCATATACAAATTCAAATTCAACACCAATATGGACCGGAATCTTCGATCCTTCTTTCCGGGTCTTGATACTTCCTCGATACTTGGGTGTTGGGACAGCGATTATACCTATTCCTTCTTCTCGACGCATAACGAGTTCTGGGTATGAGCAAGAACAACAGAAACTGCGAGAACAGCAACAAGAACAGCGACAAGAAGAACCACCCAAAAACTCCGAATCCAAAAATCCTCTCTCGAGCCTGAGTCCCACACCCAGCACCCATAGTTCCTGCTCCTATTCCTGTTGCTGTTCATCCGAATTATCGCATTCCACACTTCGCACGAGTAGTTCTGCATCCGACTCCTCATATACTTCAATTTCTTCAACTACAATATCCTCAACAGCAATTTCCTCAACAACGATTTCTTCAACTACAAATCCCACCCATCCTCCTACCCACCCCCAAAATCCCAACAAAAGCATTTCCGAGGAACAATCTCTCCCCGCCCCCCAGCTATCCCCCAAAAGCCTCGCAATTCCAGATCACTTCTCAGAAATACAAGCTTCGCCTCCTCGGACTTTGACGCCCAAATCTTCGCTGGATATGCTCTCAGATTCGGATTCGGATTGCGATGATTATGGAGGTGTTATTGATGAGGATGAGGATGAGGATGATTTTCAACTGGTAATGAAGGATACTGAAGAGGAAGATTCAGCAATATGCGATCTCATGGATGGATTTCGCAAGATGAGTATATGAATCCTGGAGAAGAAGGGGTTGGAAAGTTTTGGGAGGGAGAAAATCGTGGAATAGATGAAGGGGTGGGTGTATTGGAGTGCTGTCTGAGATATCTCACAGTGAGGGGTGTATCCAATCTTGAGATCCGAGGATCTTTGTCTCTCATTGATACTGGTTCGCGAGATTGGAGTATGTCTGATATTTTCTATACTACTACCCACTATGGGATGTGATATAATAGCGACGATAAGCAAGAATTGCTCGAGGAATCAATAACCCCAACCCCAACCTCCCATCACACCTCCCATCACACCTCCCAATCCGCATACCTCGCACACCCACCAAACCTTTCTCTCTCCCACACATCCAAGCCGGCGTCAAAGAAGTCGAATATCCACCCGGTCCTGCCTCAATATGGATCCTCACCCCTCGATATCAAACACATCTTTCCACATACATATACATATACATATCTCATCCCGGATCCAGATATCCAGATATCCACGACCAAGGACCGAGAACCACGACATTAGAACCACGACATTGAAGCAACACGCATCAGAGCCACAGTCAGAAATCTACATTTATCAACGAACTTCGCGGCGGCGAAAAACGAGCTTCGATATAATCTTACATCTGTTATATCTCTCAAGGGGAGAATATTCCAGTACTCAAGGGAGAGGAAAGTGAGGATTAGCAAGAGAGAAAGTTAGAGAAAGAGAGAGAGATCCCCAGTCCCATCCATCTTATCCTAGAAAGCGATGAGGACGTACTCCTCTTCATATATATATATTATCCAACCTCTACGTATAAATGTTTCTAGACACCGGAGTACTAGACTAGTACACTATACATTCCGAATATATTATAATACTCTTCATACCTACCTACCTACCTACCTATATATCCCGTGCTCATCGCAGAAACCAAAAACAAAAAAACAAAAAAAAAAAAAAACAAAAAACAAATCTCTCTTCCCCCAATCCAACTAACTCCCTTCCTTCCAACCTCCAGATTCCATCTTCCACATTTCAGCATCCAAACACAATATAACCATGAAATTTATTTCCACCTACCTACCTACCTACCTGCCTGCCTGCCTAGCGAGCAGCCCCTTTCTAATACTCATCATCCATCTTGATCTTTATCTCTTTCCCCTTCCTCGATCCGTTGATTAGATACTATACCATACCATACCAATCCATTGAATCGAATTCGTTCCTTCATTCAATATCGAAAATTTAAACATAATCAATATCAAAACTTAACATCAATCAAAATAATAAAATAATATGAAAAAATTCTCTCTATTCTTTTTAACCAAAACAAGTTAAATACTCCACGCTATGACCTTCTCCATACATGCCCTTGTATATCCATACCGATCCCACACCTTTGCCTCCCATGAAAGATAACCCACATCCTTCAAAAGAGAGGAAGGAGAAAAAAACAATTCCAACCCAATCCATATTCACTCATCTAAACTCCTACAATATGCTAATATAAACTTGCTGTCAAAGGTATTTCGTCCAGAATTCTCATCGCTACGCTGGACTTCAACACCCAAGCTCCTTTCATTCATTTCCCATACCTCGTTTGGGTTCGTCTGCATTACATCCCGCATCCCTCTCCGCTAGAATTAAGTATACAGGAATGTTGAGATTCCGTGTTCTTATGTTATCGCTGTGATGAAGATCTAGATCTTCTAATCGTCGGAGTTTTCTTCCTTCAAGGCCAGATTTTTTAGTCCCTTAATGACTTCGGCATCAGTATCAAGTTTCTCTGGTTGAGGGGTGAGTTGATCATCTAGTCTGACACCACCCCCTTCGAGTGCTGAATCCTCTTCGTAATCGTCATCTTCAATTGCGTTGTCGTAGTATTCCTGATCTTGACCTTCTCCCTCTAATACCATACTTCTCCCCAAACCATCATCGCCCTCTATTGACTCCATCAAAAGACTTTCATCTAGACCTTCCTCGTAGTAGTTGTCTTCGTCTAAGGTTTCGCGAGAAATATAACTATCACCCAAGTGTTCGTTGTCTTCCTCCTCCTCCTCGTCTTCCTCATCTTCCTCATCTTCTCTCTCTTCAAGATCCTTTTCATCACTCTCAGACCCACTGAAGTCATCTAGTTCAAGGACAGGTTCTCGCCAATATGTGAAATCAGTGTATTCCTCACCTCCGCTGGTGATGAGGGTGTTTACCGGTGGAAAGTAATGATCCACAACCTCCCGCATATTCACATAGCTGTATCGTAATTTGTTGAGACTGAGCAAGTCTAAGGAAACTTCTGCATAACTGTTGATGGTGAAGATACGATTGCTTGGAATACTGACAGAGCGGTACGATAATGCATCAGTGAGCCTGTTACCAAAACCTGCATAGAACGGTGTGCGATTAGGGCCGAACAAGTTTTTAATATCCCTTAGACAAGCCATTTTGAAGACTTCTGGCTTTCTAATGTAAACTTCTCGTCTCAAAGCTGCAAGCGTTCTATCGGGACTCAAGATGGTTGGTCCTTTTGGTAAGCGATAGTTCTCCTGTACCACACCATTGAGGTAGGCCCTGGTCGTATCCGCCTGACCTACTGATCGAGAGGTCAAATACATGATATTGTAACCATTGTTAATGATCTCCGTGTAGAGTTTGGCAACTCCGATGTGAGTCCAATCTCTTCCGATGTAATTCAAAACATGACCCAACGCATCTGATTTTGTGATGGTACCATCAATATCGGAGATTACAATAGGAACATCATATCTCCAGAGATACATATTTGCCTGACAAGTTGCTCGATTGACAGTAAAGCTCACAGGATTTGGGCCGGACTTGAGGCCGAGAGCTTTTAATTGATCGCTAGTCAATCGCAAAGTTTTGGCGTAGTTTCGATTTGGATCACCGGCAGTTCCAGTGGGCGTCTTGGGTGGCGTCTGCATTCCCAATGACTCAGAACCGGCACGTCGGTGCGTTGGGACAATAGGCGGGTGAAGGATGTCACTATCTGTTTCGCTACTGTATCCCAAATCCGAAGAAGTGTCGGGCGTCAATCCAGAAGCATTAATGCCTGCCATTGCAGCTCTCTGACTTGCAGCTTCTTTTGCCTCTTCACTACTGTATATCCAAAGGTTTCCGTTCTCATCCGCGCCAATGAGAGCACCAATATCATAATTGCCTTCCAATTCTTCTGACAAAACCTTTCGCGCAATAACTTCTGCCCGAAGAGCGTCATCGTCACTACTCTTGTAGCCCGTCATATCCAACATCAAGTCACCGGTTTCGGTGACCTGACTTGGGATGTTTGAGGCTTGAAGACGGTTCGACAATGCCATGGCCCTTTCTATTGCTTCACGAGTTGGCACAGGTGCAGGGCTGTGCGATCTTTCAGTGAAAACATCCGATTGTCCATCGACAGCTGCTACAGTGGGTGTCATGGATCGTGTTTGCCTATCTCGTTCGGTCAAATCGCTGATATTCGTACGAGCCGAGGATGACAAGAATTCGTCTGTATGGCTACGTTGAATCCCAGAATAATCTCCAGGAAGGTTTCTATCAATTGCCTGCTCTGAAGATATCGACGGTGGTGTCAAAGCACCTATTCTAGTCAGTAAAGAACACTTGAAAATAATCTTGGCAGCTTACTGAGATTACTTTGCCTCCTAGGATATGGGCCTTCCGCAGATTTTGTAAAACTGTCTGATCTTAAACTTTTATGGCCCATATCTAATGCTAGGAAGTCAGGTTCCGAGAGATTTGCTGGGTGCGCGCCCGATGCTGGTAACGGTGGACTGGAAACAGGCGAAACAAGAGGTGACGTCTGCATAGCTTCGGGAATATTATCACTGGTCTCAAAAACGAAGAACGCCTCTCCCCCTTCTCCCAACTTCATGGCGTAATCTTGTTTGACATCGTTGACTCTAAATTCGACCTTCTTCTCGTATGGTCGAAGTAGAGAGAACTTCCCAAAGCGAACGTGAAATGGCGAACATGCCAATGATCCATCTTCTTGTTCAACGACTATAACATCGATCGCTCCGCTGAGCGTTGCTGGATTTATCGAATTCCAGGTTTTCGAAACCGAACCGCTGATACTTCGCACGTATTGCATTGTCGATTTATTATTATTGTAAAGGAAGGTAGGTATCTTTGTTGGGATGTGGTGTAGTACGGAGGCGGATGTCACCAACGAAGATTTGTAGATGCGCCCCGATTAGTTGAAGTGTTGAGAAGTTAATAGCGGAACTTGTAAGAATTATTATATGTCGATTAGGTCATGCGTCTCTTCCTTTAAACTTTGCGACTGATCAAGTGGGGTTAATCCTGGATGAAATGTTTGTTGAACGGATGGTGGTATATTATGTAAAAAAGGTGCGTATAGTGAGATGACTGAATGAAATCGTTGGCTTGGAAGTAGGTCGTATTGTTCTATTGTATTATACCCTAGGCACAGCTTCTACATAGGGTGAGACTTTGGGGGGGTCAAAAAGGGGGGGATTGATAACGAGTGAATGGAATAGAAAAACGAAAGATATGAGATTATGGAAGCAATAACGAATCTTCTCTTGTCAAGTTGTATTTCAGTCCGGATGGGAGGCAAGTGAGGGAGGGGAAGGGAAGGGAAGGGAAGGGAAGGGAAAAGTGTTGATGTTGATGCGGATGCGGATGTTGAGGGTAATAATATGAAGGGTTGGGAATGGGAATGCGACCAAAAGCAATAGGTGACGACACGGAGAAAGAGGATTAAGCTCAAATAGGATGGAAATCCGGTGAAACCCCTGCCAATAAGGAGAAGTGCGAATTCCCAAAGATTCTAGTCATGCAGTTAAAAATTCAAAATGCACCTAATGATACGGAGGGTAAGGAGGATGCATCTAACCACCCAAATTCTATTTTCGAGCCGGCCGTGAAGCGAGAGACATAGGGTAAATGGGGAGGGAAGGACATACCTGGGAATATGAATACAAATACGGATACACATATAGATACATATAAAGATACATATAAAGATACATATAAAGATACATATAAAGATACATATATAGATATATCATATGCCGTCTCAAAAGATTGACTTGGGCTAATGGATTAGATGAGTTGACATGAGCTGACATGAGATGAATGATTGATTGAATACCTACCTACCTACCTACCTACCTACATAGGCCTCGGTAGGTAAGATTTACTAGGTATATATACTCTGGACTTGAAGAAAGCTCTTGTGTGAATGTGTGATGAATGTGTGATCGATTTCGTTGGATCTGAATGTGGAGTGGAGCACAACACATGTGACGGGAGAAATGCAATATCTCGGTATGGAGTATTCAAAGTTTTCCCAAGATTGATTACCCAATGATCAATTCCTACTTTGGGAATGATTGGTTTGATTGCAGTCGAATGAAAAAGTAACAAGTCCCTGGCCTAGTATAGAGAATGCCTCGAGAATACTTCGGTAGAAACCTTTTCTCGTATTAGTTCATTTGGTTGTGACATGGTTTTCGTGGGGTTATTGGAATAGAGAAAAGTAAGTAGTTACCCAAGTAACAAAATGTACGAAGTATATGGAGCAGAATGTGATGCAGAATTTATGGATCGATGTCGATATCTGGAAATGTTGAGATTGTTATACATAGTGATAGCAGAGATAATATCGTGTTATTCGATCAATTGGATTGATGAGATATCTAATAGACAGATACTAGGCAGAAGACATCTAGATGAATACCAGTATGCCAGATAGGAATGACTGCTTCTATATTTATATATTGACACTAGGGTAAATGATCTGAAGTCTTATTAGCATACATAATAAAACGATCTGAGTGAAGTATCCATCTCTCTACCTAGCTAGTAGACACTCCATACAATATTGATTGACACCCTCACTAATGGCAATTGTATGGCCATAGTAAGACAAAGCTGTGCTGTATTATCCAAAGGCTCAGTGCTTATGCTCATACCAAACAAAGTATCTTACCTACTGCTTCGTCTGTATCAGAAGGGTGAAGATGATCAGACCTCATATACTGCAACATACCTGACATACCTACCTAATAAGGTACTTTACACAATATATCTTCCTGGCATTGTCTCCAATAAGACCGAGTATCTACTAGCTAATCATTTCCTCATTCAATCCAGACTTCACTTCTCCTTTACTTCAACTCAAATGACTATCACGTATAGATACTAAGTAATGTTTTGAGTGATGTTTCAAGTACCTAGTGATGTTTGAATCACATTGCTCAAATTCCGTCGGTCACTTGGTAGGCACTTTAAACATACCCCGCATTTTAGTGATTTCCCATGTGCGTGGTACAAAGACTACCCAGTCGACTTGTTTCGTACACTTGGTATAGAGTACATATCATATCTAGTAATCGATCATTGCATCGCTTGGATTCGAACCAGATAGAGGCCTTTTCTATTAAGATTGTTACATAATAAGTATCTGGGTAGGAGGGAGTTTGTTACACGTGATGAGAATTTGATATGCAGAGTCATTCCCTCCTACCCACCAGTCAATCGTCTTTGACCTCCTTTAATCAACCTTTCCAATAAATGACCTAGTATTGCTCACACGATTGTGCGTAGGTATCCAGAGAGGTGGTAAGCACCGAAGTTGCTAATTAGACTTTGAAAATAAACCCATCGCTCGGTACTTTCTTCTTCTCTTCCTTCTTCTCTTCCAAATAACACTCGTACTCGTACGTAGAACGACAGTGGAAAATCCCCCGGAGCCATCATTGCTGAATTGTCTTACTCGGGAGTCTGTACTATCATCTACTTACTAGTCAGTACCTACCCGTGCTACCTACCTAAATCCCATAAAGGTGACGGCCCGAGCCCAGGCCGTTCAAGATGTGAGCCAGGCTGAGCCAGGATAGATCATCATAGCCAGGATAGTCAGAAGAGCCAGGATAATAGCCTCAAGATCCGTTTCGGTAGTGAAAAGTTTCAACTTGCCCCATTCAATCTAATTGGTCATATTTGTACCGGGAAACTCATGACTAATCATGCTTGTACCAAGATGCAAACAATATAATTGGCTACATGATGGAAATATAAAGATGGATAATTGAAAATCTATATGCACGAATGCCTGATATCTGTGGAATCACTCAAACCGTGGACCGTTGTAAAAAAAAAAGCCAAAAGAGAGCAGCTTGTAGGTGAATGGAGTGAGTGCCATCGCGAAATTGTACCACATAATTCTTCAAATACTCTTTCGTCCTTGCAACTTCCACTTCCACCTCCGCCTTTCCCCTTACCACTATTTTTTGACCTTCTCTTTCCCCCCCCGGCCTCATTAGTTCTCAACAACCTCTTTCCTGAGTGTTTTGAGATCTACTCGGATTCGATTCTGTATGAACGCTGTCGACTACTACACCAGCTTGATTGACTGGGTATTTAGTCATGCAAGAGTGCTCCACGAATACATGTTTCTAATTCAGTCCATAGTGACTTGTACGGCCCTATTCTGGTTCGTGGCACATCATTCAATCGAACGGCAGAAACAAGCCTGACTAACCTATGACGTTAAAGGCTGCTGAGGAGGGCATGGGAGGTTCTTTGGACCCCTCTACCACGACTTATTAGCATTTTAGGTGTCGAAGTCCCCAACCCGCCAGAGGTTTCTCTCGCCTGCATTAAATCAGATGCCTTGACTTTACATTGGTCATCGTCGCCACCGAACAAAGGTGTGGTTCGGTATATTATCCAAGTCAACGGCGTCGATGGTGAGTTCTCTATAATGCATACTACCTTGAGTACTCCAGTCGCGCTAACATTCTATCATTAGTTGGCGAATCTACCCAAGGAGAAACGGTTATTATCGAAGGGCTCAAGCCGGGTAATTTTTACAATGTGAGAGTGATCGCAGTTGGTACGCAAAATTTTCAGGCCGGGAGTAGAGTGATACGGTTGAGAACTTTGGGTCGAGATGGACTTCCACGCCATGGAGTAATAAGGAATGAAGCCGATCTGTCGGTTGAAGATCAACATGATGCTGGCGGAGAAAGTTTACCCACGGTTCGAGCCCACGGAGTCTCGACCGACGGCACCAATGCTCCTGCAGCTACCGTGCAGGTTGTCGTACGAGAATCGAGCGTCTCCCATCCTAGCCAGAGAAGAAACACCGTAGGTAGAAAACACTCACAATCAACAGCTAACGCTACCGCCGAGAACTGGTCCGCCTCAAATGCTCAACCTTTGGATGAGAGCCGAGAGACGATACAAGAGTTGCAGGAACAACAAGATAGGATACAGAAGGAGCTTGAAGATGTGATTGCACAAGGTCTGAAGGAATCCGAGGAGATCAAAAACCAAATCCTTCTTTTATCCGAAGATAAAGATAAAAAGACAGAGATGGTCAAGGACAAGGAGGAAGCGAGCGAGACGCTAAGAAAAGAGGTCAAGAACCTAGAGGTCAAAAATCGGCAAGCACAATCGCGGAAGACGGCGCTGCAAAAGAGTCTACAGGCCAAACAGGCAGAGAGAAAGAAGATGCAAGATGAACAAGCACGCTGGAAAAAGGAAATGAAGTCGATGGGCGCTGAAATGGAGTCATGGAGTCGCGAGGCAGAGGAGATACGCACGACTACAGAGGCAAAATGCGAGGAGCTTCGTGAGAATATTCGAAACGTTCAAGATTTGATCACGAAATTTACGCGGGAAGTCGCCGAGAAAGGGTTATTGGTCAAGAGCTTAGAAGAAGAAAGGGAGGGCCTTGGAATTGGGCTGGATGACGATCAAGCTCGTGAGTGGGATGCTTTAGAAAGGAGAAATGATGCTCAGTGGGAGGCAGAAAGCAGAACGCAACATGCTATTGCGCAAGACTACAGCCAACGGCTGGAGCGACTTGAGAACGAACTTCAAGCTGCACAGGCCAATTTCACAGCGCTTTATGCCCGGTTACCAAGCAATCCAAACGAACTCATGAGTCATGCAAATTCATCAGGAGTTGATTTCGATCCGAATGGACAACACGGTAGAGCCAAATCTCGAAGACAACGCACTCGCAAGAGTCGCACGAATACGGTGTCATCTACTTCTGGCTATGCAATGGCTGAATCCCAATATTCAAGTACTGGTATATTCAACAACTTCAATTTAATGAGCCCACCCGCTTATGCGGCAGCTCCATATTTGAATCTAGCTATGAGTAACGATACTGCGATGGCTTCCATCTCAGGTCACTCGGGAGGCATGAGTGAAGCTGATATCCAAACGCTCACTGCTGGGGCACCGCTCAGTCCGACAGCAACCATGCTATTACCGTCAACTCTTTTTAACGACGACGAACTTCAAGGTGCTGATGAGGAAGGCCCTGAATATATGTCCGAGTTGCATCATTCATATAGTCCAACACAGCGACATAATGATGCGCAATCTCCAGGGTCTAGTCGCTCTGCTAGTCTAATGTCTAGTCCCCACGCATCATCACAAAATCTCGCAAAATATGGCGTTACACATCACGACTATGCTCTCGATGCTGAACGTAGGTCGCTAGGCTCACCCTCGTCAAAGTTTGGAGTAATTGGATCTCCAGCACGAAACGGTCAATCAACATCTCATAGGAATTTTGGCAGCATGTTTACTTCTCTTCGAAAGTCTGAGAAGGCTCCTCAAGATGGACTCCCTCTTGGTAGTTTGAAAGGCCAAAGCAATTCATTTCCACGTTCCACTGATGAACCGGAGACTCCCAGCAGAGCTCGTCGTATAAGCTTCTCATCCGGCTGGGGGAACGTCTTTCAGCGAAGCGCTACAGTCGGTGACTCTTCTGAAGGTAACGCACCTGCACCAGCTCGTCCAAATGGTCGGAGACAACTTGGTTTTAGTATGTTTGGCTTTAGAAATGAAGATGCAAACCATCTACGTTCCGCTCGTGACCCTAGTAGCCCTCGTCCGACGTCCATTGCCTCTTCTGATTTGCCACGCCCATCAACGGATAGTGCACCTTTCGGGTGGGGGCCAGGAGCTGATGGGACCGTAAACAAAAGCCCACTTGTTACCGATTGGTCCGTGTCCGCCCCACCAACTTGGTCCAGCAATCCATCGAGAAGGCCTAGTTTTCAACATGGCTCCTCTAGTGCATTGGCTTCTGAGATTTTGAGCGGATCAGACGAATACTTCTATGAAGATACCATTCATTCAAGTCCACCTCCAAATCTGGGAGCCATTGGTACTCGGCCTCCTTCGTCGCACAACTCGGTTTTACCTAAGCTCAACCCTAATGCGCCAAAATTCGAACTCCCTCAATCGAGTGAGCCTGTCTTTTCTCGTCTTCGGAGAAGTAAAGGTAAAGGCAAAGCTCCAGATCAGAATACCGAAACCTTCGACCCTACCTATGATACACCTCAGCCTATGACCTCTTCTCCATCTGAGTCGAGAAAGTCCCGAGACTCGCCATCTATTCATACTCAAAACAGTGTGGCCGAATCGATAGATAGCTTAGATAGGACCAAAAGTAACACAGCATCCGATATGGCAGGAAGTGCGAAAGGAGAATCATCCTTCACAAAGCTTCTCCGTAAAGGTAGTTCGAGTAAATTCAGTCTGGGAGGGAAAGATTCGATTTTTGGGAGGAAAAAAGGAGGAAGTAGTACGGCTGCTTCGGATCACAATGATAGAGATGAAGGGTTGGATGACCTTGGTGATTCTTTGGTAATTGGAACTGGGGGAGAAAGTGCAACTAGTAGTCCAAGGATTGGCGGATTTGAAGGAAATGATGGAAAAGCAAAGGGTGCTACTAGAGAAAGGAAAAGCTCGACGTGGGGAAGATTCCAAAGAAAGAAAAGAGAAAGTTCGGAAATAGAGAGGAGTGAGAGGAGTGAGGCGGAAACGACAGGTACGGAGGATGAGCATGAGTGAGTGTGCGCAATCACCCTAATTTCCCCAGGCGAGTGGGAATGCAGGGGGTGAGCATTGGGGGAATGGAGGGAGTTTATGAATGTATGATGAAAATCATATACACATACATACTCGTATGCTCGTATACTCGCGTATCAGGGTATCTCAGACGTGAGATATACGCAGCACTTGCAACGCATTTGATTTGTTGACTAGAAATCGTTAGCGTTGCATGCATACCTATATACTAAAAGCAAACTTTTTTTTTTTACGTATACCACTCGAGTTTTTGATGTCGAAGTGACTGCTGATTTTATGTATTTCTCTCCGGAACTTGTTTCTTATATGCTGATGGTGTGGGGTGAGTATGAGTGTTGTATGTATAGGTTTGTTCGGGAGGGTAGGGTAGAGTGTAGGTAAGCTTTGTTTGTTTATTCATCTATTTAGGTATCTGTAAGCATAAAGGCTTTTCCAGCAGGAATGAAATGGAGGAAGGGAAGAAGGGAAGAAAGAAAAGATGGTGGGGTTTCGAAGGAGGAAGGTTGGTAGGTTGTGTACTGTGTATATGCACAGGTATCTACTTGGATTGCGAGATTGGGAGGAGAGGAAGATATGCTGGAGCGGGGTTATTATGGAGAGGGGAGAGAGAAGGGGGGGAGAAGAGGGAGAAGAGGAGAGGAGAGGAGAGGATATGATATAATATGAGGAGGGTTTATTATTCTTTAGGAGGTAGATGATTGGTCAATGGGTAGACTGGTTGAGTGAGTGAGCAATTCATCTTTTTATTAGAATACAAAACACCAAACCCTAATGCAATTCCAATTCCAAACAATCTACACACACATATATATACGACAAATCTCTATTCCCAAACTAAATCAACATGCAACCAACAATAATCGCCAATCATCAAATACCAGAAGCGTCTGAAAACAGATTCTTAAGATTCCTAAACGAAAATCTCAAAATCTCACAATCTCAAGATATTAGCAAAGAAGAAGAGAAGAAAAATAAAGGAATAAAAAAATCTAGATAGATACCTATAAAGGACTTGAAAGGATTGCTCGGGAGGTTGCCCGTGGGTCTTAATAGGGAAGTTCGGGGGGGGGGGGTGGAGGGGTGGGTTTTTATTTCTTTTTCCCATCTACTTTATTCAATTAGAACCATATACAGGCGCGTCGCATGGTCTTAGCATAGCTAGATAGACCGAATCGATTATGAATTTACTACTACTACTACTACCTATAGCTAGCTATCTATACACCTTCGAAAGAAGCAATGTGTTATAGATACCTAGATACCCAGATACCTAGCCAGCTAGATAGATAAACAGATAGGAAAAGCATTATAAACGATTCGTATAAGTTATACATATCTCACACACCCACATCCATACATTTTAACTCCCGCGCCAAACCTCGCGTTTATCACCGCAGGGAGAAAGAAAATACCAAAACTTCAAAAGGCGAATGCGGGTGAACTCTAATTCGATCTATCCTGTAGACATAGCCCGATGAGATGTAACACCCCCGTACCTACGTACCTACCTACCTAGACATACAGAATCCTCTCTCTCGATCCTTCTTCCCAACCCACTTCCGCTCAAACAAAAATAGAAACAAAAGTGCAGATACAAGTGGAAGGGCAGAACGATCAAGACTCGGAATTGCTAAGGGTAGGTACATCCATCCAGTGCTCTCCCCATAGGGAAACCAGTGATTGTCATTGTAATTATTTACCCACCTCTAGCTATAAATCCATCTTCTGAACCTTCTTTTATTTTCATTTTTAGCTCCTTTCCTTTCCCAATCAATGAATCAACAAACAGACAGAAATAGTCTCGTCTCGTCTCGTCTCATCTTATCTACATATTTTATCAACCATTTTGGAAGGCCATAAATCCACCGGAATAGCGCTACACATACATACATACATACATACATACATACCCATCCCCAACCGCAAGCCACAAGGGCCAAGTACTGTGAAATCTCCCTCCCATCCCGTCATCAAGCGCTGACCCCCCTCCCCTTTTCAAAAAAAAGAAAAAGAAAAAGAAAAAGAAAAAGAAAACCAAAAAGACGAAATTCTAATCCGCTCAAGTGAAATAGTCAAAACAAAATTGTCCTCTCTTCTCCGCATGTCGAAATCTTTTTTGCAGATTTTGAATGCTTCTCCACTCGACGAGATACTGATCCTTTTGATGAATGTTCGACCATCTCCGTTGTATTTGAATACTCTTTTCGCTATCTCCTATGCCTTCGATTTCGATTTCAGATGCGGCAGGGATGGGAGGCCCAGCTCCTATGAATTCGATTCCAGATGTATCCGGGATAGGAAATCCAGCTCCTATGACTCCGAATCCGGATATAGCTAGTATAGGAAATCAAATTCCTATGATTTCAATTCCAGAAGCGGCAAGGATAGAAAATCCAGCTCTTATCTCGAATAATGACAGTCACAACAACAATAATAACTTGGATGAAACAAGTCAAGCAAAACGCAAACCCAATAGATTCGAAGGTCTCGGGCTCGCTCAACGATTGCGACTGATCCAACAGACACATCCCCTGCGCACAACTCCGCATGATAATAATGTGTCTGTCACTTCAAGTTCATTACCTCCTTTACCCCCAGGAACCCCCACTTTTTATTTCCCTACTACAGTTTCTACTGAAGTTACCAATACAGTGAACACTACAGTTCCCATTACAATTTCCACCACAAGTCCCATTACATTGGAAACTATAATGGGCTTTGTAGTAGAAGAATTCAACCTTCGACCACCTAATAAGCAACCAATTTTTCCCTACACACTATATGACTTTACAAAGTCTGACTTAGTGGTATCTGAAATCAGCGGGATCAACGTAGAGGAGCAATATCATGATGTCATGGCAATTGTTGGGGAAGCTTGTGGCAAATGCTCAAAGTGTACGAGTGACACTCGTGTCCAGGATTTGATTGATACGATCATTGAAATACAGTTCCCGGACCTGGATACCGCCCTATTCCGGGATGGGATTCTGGATGAATTTGGATTCGACGACTACTGGAATGAGCTGATAGTGGCCAAGCCCGAGGTCAGGAGAGGGTATGTGAAATTTGAGACGTGGTACGCAAAGGTATGGCAAGACATTGAAGCGAATAACGACCTGCCAACTATCTCGAAGGCTATCGAAAAGGAGTTTTGTCGATCTCGAGATTTCAGACGGATTTTGGCAGGTAAAGAAGTCCCGGAATGTAAATGGAGAAAGATGGAATTACTTATTTTCGTGATAAGAATGCGGAGAATTCGAGGAAAGCTAGAGGAACACCCCCGGACACAAGAAAAACAAGAGACAAAGACGATAGAAACCACTACAAAAAAGAACCGGAAGACTAGAGACAAGGAGAAGAGGAGGAGACTGAGGGACCGAGAAGATAAGATCGTGGCCAAATTGCTGCATGATACATTTGAAGAGACAAATAGATTGGTGATAACAAGAGACATAAGGAATCTTGTAATGGCACGGCGAGAGATCACAGATTGTTTTGTAAAGGTTGGCACTCCTGAGAGTATTTTTTCGAGCTGGGAAAAGGAATCAGCACTGCTACCATTCATCAACATCCAGAAGTTTGTTTCATTGGTGAAGGTGAGCTAGGACCCGATGGAGATACATTGTAAGAGAGTTGGTAAGATCACATCAAGGGTTGAGCCAAGGTACTGCAGAAATACTGGCATGAGCCTGAAAACAGATTCTGGGGCAGGGCAAAATCTAGTTAATCTATGCATAGCATCATTCTACCATCGATTGTACGTATTTGCTATCATCTCCGTTGGAACAACTTCATCAAGAGTGGTTGATAGCGAGGATATATAAAATCATCTCAGCGTCTATCTGTGTGTTTGTATGATGATAAAGACGAATCACTAGAGTGATATGAAGAACAGCGAGCTAACTCGAGTATCAGATGAGATGTAGTTGATGCCCAATATTTAGATGAAAAATTGCAGTGAAAGAAAACGATGCCAGGAATGACGATCTCAGAATAGCTGCGAGATGGGTAACTAGAGTTAATAGACTTCTGTAGCCATCTCCCCTCAATGCAAAATCCGGATTTATGGTTCACAGACACTGAAAAACAATACAACAAAAAGTTGCATAACGTTGGGTGTTTCGTGGGTGGCCTACAAGAAAATTCGAAAGGCACAGTGCCGTACCCCTACATGGAAGTAATACATGTAGAAGGAAAAATGCAGCGTGGGTGATAAAGACTGCAATCAATGTGTCATGTGCGAGGATACTCAGCACTCAACTTTAACATCCACTTCCCTTTGTAAAAATTAAATATGATAAGATGTGTTCAATTTTTTGTTCTTGATGAAACAGTGTATCGTTACATGATGATTCTTTCGTTATGGCTTGAATGGTTGTGTGTTGGTGTTGATCAAATAAAGTGGTGGTTGCAGCAAGACTCAGAATACAGATGGAAAGGCACATTTATGCATGTGCACTTCTTGCGCTTCTTTTGGTATGTTGAAACATTCCCTCTGGTATTTATAGGCGCCGGGGTGGTTAACGCACACGGAATATAATCAATAAGAACGCTGCAGCTACTAGAAAAGCAGTAGGATTTTAAGTTTTTCATTGCAAGCACAGGCTCAAACATGCCGAGAGAAAAAAAATCCGTTCGACAGGACCGAAAGTCTACAGATTCTTCAAACCTCATGGAGACCGCGTGACTAGTTTCAACATATTATATATTATCTTGAAGCTACAATAGTCCCTTCTCTACCTCAGACCGGCCCTCGTTCCGGGAAGACAGCTTAAGCAGAGGGAGGATGCATATATAACAAAGATGGAGCAATATTCTCACAAAAAATATCAAGAGAACGATTTGACTCTACAAACTTCGACGTGTACAACAATTCAAAGTTTTCAAAACGCCTACAAACAGAACTTGCTGCTGCGTTGTGCAATGGTTTGTCCAGGGCGAATTCCATGAAGCTATGTATCAATAGTCATCTCTGACATCGAGCAGGCTCTAAGCTTAGGGGGGAGACCATTCATTAACTTCAATGAATACAAACAACACTCTCATCGGCGCCTTGTCCCATGATGATGTGATTCAGATAATTTTTGGTACCATAGCCACGGTTGTGGGAGTTTTTAGTGTAGTATTGGCGTGGGTGGCATGGAAATCGCATAGGGCGCAGACGGGGCGAAATTCTTTCAACGAAGGCATGCTTTTGCCTTGATTTTGACGCAGTTTTGTAGAGTTATGCTGATGAATTGACAGCTCCATCTTCTGACAGATTCGAGCTTCGACTGGTGGTCACAAATACAATCGACACAAGATAGGCTTGGAAAAGAATGGTTCATGGACAGCGAATTCGTTGTTGTTCGACTCAGGGTAGTCAGGCCATTGACAGAAAACATGAAGAATCTTGTCGACTTTGGGAAGGAGAATACTTGTGGATATACTCGGAAATATCGGAAGAGCCATGTAAATTAGATCCTTACTTGTTTAAAAGCACACCACACGTGTTTGTGACCGATGGTACAAGTGAGACATCGACCAGAACCAGTTCGACAGACTAAACTATTTTTCGACACATCGTTTTCCTGAATTGTCAAACAAATTTTGTGCTCTGGTGAAGTTTCTGAATTAATTCTTTTTCCCTCATAACCCGAATAGGCTTCTGCCTTCCGTGATGCCCACAGGAAGGGGCACATTGGTAACAACATTACCAATCTTTGCTTTGATTTCCTCGGTCTTTATTTGAATCTGCTTTACTTTCAATAATTCGTTGGCTGTCAATCGCTCGGTAGCTTCAATAAGTTCTTGGTCTGGAGGTAATAGTGTCCACGCAATACTAATATGAAATGCATCTGACACATCAGCCATATCATGGAAAATATCCTTTTTTAGCTGTGTCTTGCCTCTGAAAGGTTTGCCTTGTTGAGAGTGGTGAGCACCTTTTGCTACTTGTTGACCATTTACACGTGTTCTAGAATTTGCGTACAGGGGCGGCTGTCCAAATTCTTCCACGACTTTATTACTCACGTGAAGTAATTTGTTCAAAGCATTGCTCTCCGATGTAATGACGCAGAGAACCAGAAACCATCTAGTCTTTTCATAATTAGGAACCCACGTTAATCCGGAGAAACCCATCCCAAAACTTAAAACTATCAGTCACGTGTAACCCCTAATTCAAACGGACAATGGACTTACGGACGAACTCCGGAGGACTTTATGACTTGTTCGAATGAAGTCAAGAAGGTATCTTTGACATCTTTGGAAAAGCCAATTGATCGTGACAGACTGACATGTAAGGGAAGAGGGACCCCAAGATCATTTGACAAAAATGTTTGAATGTCGTGGGTTTTGAACGATTCAACTTTTGAGATCAAGGATGATATAAGATCAAATTCTGTAGTCGAAGGATACCCTCGATTGAATTAGCGAAACGAGCTTGACAAGAAGGTTAAACCAAGGCATTTATCGGTACTCACACTCAATATAAATATGTGTTGGCCAATTACCCTCAATATGGGGAGTTACTCTCTTTCGTCCTCCATGTAAGCTTGGATCATCTCTTGAACTGTTCCTCACGGTTGACGCATAAAGATCATGAAATTTGGAGGGCAGTGGAGGTAATTCTGATGAAGATGAAGAAACATCTCGCTTTCGCTTTAAATGATTTGAACTGGAAGTTTTTGTGGTGACATTCTTTTCATCTTGCCTGTTGTCTTGGTTGATTTGATTGTCACGATTGTCACGAGGAAGGTCTTCGTCTACCACATTTTCCTCGTCGGACGAAGCATAATCGACCAGGGCCATGATATGATGATGAATTTAAACTTTGTCAGCCTTCCTTGGCTGAAGGATGTAGGGATTGATTGATTCCGAATTGAAGGACCCGACGGGTGCACTAATAAAAGGTAACCAAAGTAGAAACTTGGCTCAATTGACAAGTGCTGGGGTTCATTCGTAATCAAGTCGGATTAATAACTTCGAAGTTCGTACCTATACGATAGTAGGCACTGTAGTCCCCGGCCGGGCTTCCCGTGATTCATGAACGTCTACTCCGGACTAACTCGAGAGTCAAGACTCAAGAGGCCCAACTTGAAATGGGAATTTTGGTTGCAAACGAATGAAACGAATGAACCTTCGTCAATCCAATCATTCCCCAGACCTAGTGTGTGTTGAGCAGAACGTAAAAGATTTTAAAGTTTGACCAAGGGAGTTGGTATGCGTGGCAGTGCGACGGTTGAAAGGGCTTTAATGCTGGACAAGTGACAAGTCTAGAACCGACTTTGACGCATCCATTGAGTAGACGTCAGCGTACGGAGTCTATTGAGGCTTTAGGGGGTTGTTTTGTGATTCTCTCGAAAATCCATGAAATGATGAGGGTAATGAAATGGATGAAATGGATGGAATGGATAAAATGGATAAAATGTAGAATGATCTGCTGTTGGAAGTGGATCTGGGAGTAGGTACCTGACTAATCAATCTTTGGGTCGACTTGCTGCAGTGTTGAAGCGTGATTGGAGTGATGGAAGTGAAGTTTGTTCTATCAAATACTAGGATGACCAATAACTCGGCCTTATCTAGCGTTATCAAATTACATCATTGGTGCCAAGGATACCCTGAAATGTTGCGTACGAAGTACCTTTGAGCCAGCTAGCTACGAGTACGATGAAGTGTGATGATGAGTTAGTGACCGGTAACTTACCATTTCTTTTTTCTTTTTTCTTTTTCTTTTTTCTTTTTTCTTTTTTCTTTCTTCTCTCTTCTCCTTCTTGCTCTTCTTTGCTTAAACGCATCCGCTCTTCCTTTTGATTTCTAATTATATCTTGGGCCCTTGTATATCATGTCAGAAGAGTGCTAATGACCTACTTTACTACCCGACCCATCACCTAGTACTTGACCTAATAGTGCCTACTTGATACTTTCCCTCAAATAGAAAGCCTTCGCCTTCTTCTTCTCTTTCTCTCTTCTCTCACAATATCTAATAATCTTACCCGAGAAGAAATCTCCTGTCGTGCCTTCAATACTTCACTGCTAACAAAAAAATCACCTGGTGATTAATAACATTCTATTCACGGCACGGCTCACTCGGATATCACCAGAATCATTCATCACACCATATTTGGTGCTAGATTATCTCCAAAATGGACAGCTCAAGTGATAAATGGGTATGTTTAAACTCTCCATCTGTATCCTGATCAATCAATCAATGAGTCAATAAACCAACCTATCAATTCATAGACATTTAGCTCTTCATCTATAAAATTCACTATATCAATCATACCCATATCACACTATCAATCACAATGATCACTAACAACCCTTTCTCCAACCAGGCTCAGCAATATCTAATCGATCCTCTCAATGCTCCTCAGCCGAGCGAAGAAACAGGTCCCGGAAGCCATTTCAAATCTTCCATTCCACAAACCCAATCGAGCAGTTTCGGGAGAAACAATTCCACCAAGAAAACCGCCCAATCAACCGTGTCTTCCTACCCAACACCTCCCTCCTCCGCTAGTCCGACCAAATCCTCCTTTAGCTCCAACAATCCCTATTCATCTCATCGTCAATCCGCTTTTGGCGGCTACTCCAAACCCAACAGTGGAAGCCTCCGCAAGAGTCTCGAAGAACCAGTGAGCGATAATGGCAAAGGACGTCGACGAGGTAGCTCACTAGGTGAACGCTTCCCCGGTGACATGTCCCACAGACCTCTCGATCAACTCCGTCAAGAAACCAAAACAGCATATCGATCTCCGCATCTTCGTAAGAAGCACATTCCAGGTGCCGATACCATTGATTCTCTCGATCGTACTGCAATCTGTGGCGCGTATCATCATGGAGGCCCTTATGATGCTACATTGATGGCACGTAATACAAGCTACAAGAATTCCCCCGTGGCAGCGGTTGCGGAAACGAACGCGGAAGCGATCAGAGCTACCCCGAGAGAAAATATTCAAGATAGTTTGGAGAGACACATTCCCTTATCAGGAACAGCTGCAATTCCTCCCGGAATGCCGGGTCCAGATGGTAGAATTATGAATTACGAAGAAGGTGCAGATTTGATGAGGGAACCTGATGCTGCTGGTGGTGCATACAAGAGATGGGATCATGTGGTATGCTAACTTTTTTTCCTGTCCTTTCCGTCCTTATTTCTACTGTCACAAAATGTATATCCCACAACTGGACTCTCAACTTGCAAAGTTCAGACGAGAGGGACTTTAATGGGCGACTCCAACTCCACTTCCATCTCACTCTCATTTACAATTCCAGATGACATTCCACCCACTCCCAATCAACCCAACCCAACCCAGACTAACACCCCACCCCTAGAAATACCTCCCCGAAGACTACAAAGGCAAAGGCGAACCCTCCTTCACCATCGAAAAGGCCCTCAAAGACCACAAGCGCGCCCAAAAATCCCACCGTCGCAACATGTCCGACGGCAACTCCGCCTACGAAATGCAATCTCAATCCTCCCCGTCCGCATCAGGATCAAGTCTGCGTCCCCCTCCCACAAACCGCCAAAGAAGCGCAAGCGGAGGTAACCTTGCGAGCGATAGCAAAAACATGACGACGACGAGCGGGAGAGCAATGGAAACGGTGGATTTTTCAAATGATGACGCGGGTGTAGGAAGTAGCAGAAGTAATAGTGCGGGGAAATCGCACAAGATGGGTGAGGGTCTCAAGAGGAGATTCGGGAGCTTGAAGAGGAGTTTGAAGGGGAGTGAGAATTAGGTGGTTTGGGATGATAGGCTGATTTGGTTGCGAGAATGGTTAAGAGGGGGATGGTAATGGTTTTTGGGTTGGTTTGAAGGAATGTCTCTGAACGTGAACATGGACCACATGAACATTTGGGATGCGTGGATGGATGAATAGAATGCATGACAATGATGTATTGTTAAATTTGGAGAAGATTGTATGATATCATTTCGCTTAATGATTCCAAAGAAAGTATATGTGACAACAGATGGATGATATGCCATGTGAAGTGACAAACAAACCAATTCAAAACCATGGATTCATTCTCTTCCGTCTCAACCAACTATTAATCTGATGATTACCTTGGCATCTCCTCTCATCTCCTCCCATCTAATCTCATCAATCACCTCCCTACATGCTCACTCACTATAATCACTCCGGAAGTTATATAATCGTGCGGTGAAGGTATGCTATGTTATATTATTCATGACATACTACTCATATAGCTTTTCAATATATATATTACCATCACCCTCCACCCACCTACCCACCCCCTCTCATTCACCCACTCGTGCATCCATGCACCCATTGAAAGATCAAACATCTCCTTCTCTCCCCCCCTCACCATGCTGTCCATGCACTCCTGTTCCGCCAATCCCTTTTCCCTCAAGACACTCATCCCTTCATCCAACCCCCCCCCCAAAAGTCAAACTCCAGCCCATATCAAACTCCATAAAACCAGAATGCATATATACGATTTGGGTATCCCACATGCGCACCACCAACAAACAATCCCTAACGCCAGTATCATGCGTGTATAAACCCCATCCCATCACTTATTCTATCCGTCTAAATCGCTTGCTGTCACTACCAAAATAGTTCCCAAATTTTAAAATTCCTTCCCAAACGACTTTCAATTATTTCGACTCTGTTTTTGACTTTGTCTCTGTGACTCTACTCGACTCTTAATTACTAATGCTTCAACCTTGGGTATTAGATCTGGGATACGAAATGGTTTAGAAACAACATCATCCTAATTCCAATTTGTTAGTCTCGGCTCCAAAAATAAACCTTTCCACAAAAGGAGTAAAAGGGGCGCATACCATCCCAGTAGCCAAAGCCGTCTCAATCTGTTCCAATCTTGCATTTGCCGTAACTGCAATGATTGGAACATGGCGAACAATCGTTCCATCAGCTTCCAATGCTCGAATCTTCTTAGTGCAGGTAAGACCATCCACTGAACGTTAAATTGTTAGCATACCTATCCAAAGGTCCAGGACAGCGAAGAGGATTTTGGACATACTTATTGGCATTTCCAGATCCATTAAAACACATGAGATACTGGTTCTTTCCGCGGTGGGATTTTCATGCTTCCAAAAAGATGACCCTTCTAGTTTATGCAAAGCCTCCAATCCGTGGTTGCTAACTTCCGTCACAAAACCGGCTCTGTGTAATTGTTTTTGCAAAACGCGCTGATTAACAAGATTATCTTCTACGATGAGAATTGTAATATCTTTGTAATCAACCTTTGGACTTGGTGATATCCTAGCTATACTTGCTGAAGCTCCTCCTTTCGATCTATTCATTAATGTAAGTAGAGAATCATGGCAACAGCAAAACAGATGTGATTTCATGCACATGAAGACGGAAGAGATGTAAACTTACTGGGTATGCACTGGCTTTTCCAACGAGCTGGTGATACTTTCTACCGGAGTTTGGTTTGTAGTACGCGGAGAAGACTTTCGATTGATGGCAATGTGATTTGGAGAAGATAGCGGTGATGTTTCAGGACTGCCCTCAGCCCGGCGAGCCTTGACGTAGAACGCAAAACAACTGCCGACTCCTTTTTCTGAGGAGACTCCAATTTGCCCACCTTGAAGTTCGGTTAACTCTCTCGAGATAAATAATCCTAGGCCTGACCCGCCATATTGAACGTGAGTACGTGGAGACGCTTGTGAAAATCGTTGGAATAAAATTGAAACTTCTTTTGCATCAAGACCTCTACCTGTATCTTGAACAGCAAATTTCAGATATAAATCTTCGCCTGGACCCCATTCTGCTTCATCCATTGCCAAACCCGTAATGCCTGATCGGGAAGGAAAATACTGAACGTTGGTATCGCTGTTTGCCGGGTGTTCCTTCGTTGCACCAACACTCACAATAATTGATCGTTGAGGCTGACCCGTAGTGAATTTTATAGCATTGGTTAGCAGGTTTATTAGGACTTGTAATAGCCTTGATGGGTCAAGTTTTACCCAATTGATGTTGAGGTCAGCATACGAATCCTGGATTTGAAATTCAATAGAGATGTCATGTTTCTCCATATCTCCTTCAAACATTTTGATGGCACGCCTGGCCACAGATATTGGTTGCGTTGAGACAGGTGCTACGACGAGAAGCGCTGAGTCCAATTTAGACAAGGTCAGAATGTCGTCGACGATGCGTTTCTGATGCTGCGCACAAAGTGCGATAGTTTGAGCTGCATCAATGCTGCTTTCGATAAGTTCTGATATTTCCTGAGGCGCTTCCCTATTTCGCATGCTTGATTTCAAACTCTTGAGCACAGGAGCAGTCAAAGCACTGGTGATTTCGTCCGAACATTGTAGGATAGCACTCAAAGGATTGCGCATTTCATGGCTAGTCATATCGATAAAATTCTCCTGTTGTCGCTTCAGCTCTATTGCCTCTTTCGTCTTCTGTTTCTGAAACTCCTCTGCCCATTTTTGGTGTGATATATCTGTGATACAGCCAAAGATGCTCATCAGGCTATTGTCTCTATCTCTAAGTGAAGTGCAGTTCATGAGAGCCCATGTATCTGTCAAAGCATGCTTACTTTGCCATGGCGTTTTGAAACGAAACTCTTTCGTCACGTTTACTTTCTGTGCAACTAACTTGTTCCAGGTAGTTTGGACTCCTTCGCGATCTTCTTCTTTAATGCTGTCCATCCAGGATTTTGCGCTATTATCAGATCGAGGATGCCGCGATATTTCCCACCAAGCATCGTTAGAAAATGTGATTTCTCCCTGAGAATTCGCAATAAACATTCCAACGGGAGCCATCTCAGCCATGCGGGTAAATCTGTTTTCACTTTCCACAGCTTCCTGGGTGCGTAGGTTGACAAGCTCAGATAATTCTTGACGATCTTGAGCAGCAATGCGCGCTGCTTTCTGACCTTTGCGAATCTCTTCTTCATAGAGAACAACTGACGCCATTGAAGTTGCCAATTGGCGAGTCATGAGCTCAACAAACAAACTATAATCGTCATCATAAGGTCTTCTTGGATTCACTCCCATGACCAAGAAACCTAGTATGGATTCTCTGCTAGTGGCATGAAGTGGTATGGCAACAGCGGCTCGGCAAGGATCGCCGAATCCTTCACATTCGAGTTCTCTGATTAGTTCCGTTGGTAGGGTTCCTTCCTCGGTGGTAAGCAGTACAGGTCTATCAAGCCTCATACATTCTCTCAAATATGGGGCGAATCCATCTTCGCTAAGGTGGAGATCCAATGGTGTTGCGGCTGATTGATGGCCCTGAGGGACACCAATTGTTCCCTCCAACACACAACATGGAGCTTGTGACATACTTCCGGAGTTCAATGATCTCTGTGAGCTCATGTCGCTATCGACATCCTCATTAACCGAGTAGAGAAGAGCGAAAGGTATGTCAAATGGGTTATACTCCAATGCTTTGATCACTTGTGCCCAAAATCCTTTAATGTTTCTCGCAGTAGCTGTCTTCTCTCCTACTTCTCGCAAAGTAAGCATTCGGCGTTCTGATATTACTCTTCTCGTCTTTTCCCATGCCGGATTGTACAGCCCGACTACAGAGCCATCCTCTCCGACTAGTGGAATTATACTCCATGCAAAATAGCATTCTTCCAGGTAACCATTTCGTTTGATGAAAAGTCTATCTTCATCTTTCATGGTTGCTTGGCCAGATGATTTTGCTTTTGCAAAGACCGCTTCGATATCATCCCAGATTTCGGCCCAAGCTGTTTTGTAACTTTGTCCCATTAAGCTAGGGTGTTTTTGTCCGGCTAGTAATATATACGCTTCGTTGTATATGGCTGTGTATTCAGATCCCCAGTACATGGCGGCTGGATGAGGACTTCCCATGATGAGATTGCACATAGCTCTCAAATCAAAACTCCAGTTTTTCATTGGCCCAAGAGGAGAGGCTGCCCAATTGATATTACGAGTGAATTGAATATGTCGAGGTAATGCTGCAGTTAGTGGAAGTCTTGTCCAATCGAATGAAGACCCATCAATGTGTGCTACTTGATTGCCAGCAAGAAGTGAGTCTATCGGGCTCGAACCAGGGACAACTGTAGCTGCATCTCCAAAGTAATCAGACGGCTCAGGGAATAGATCCGTTGAACTTCTCAAATCTTGACCGATTACGAAACCTGGATTCAGTATAGTAGGGCTGCTATTGTTTGCGTTCGATGAGGTCGAGTTGGTCGTGGGAATTAGAGTTCTGACGCCATTCATTACCCGAAGACGTTTTTGTAAAGTCGAACAACGCCATGTGAACCCTCCATACAAGAATGATGGCAAGCATATATCTAAAGATTCGCTTTCTTTGCTCACAAAACTTAACACCCATGCTTTGAACTCCGGAAATGCATGTGTAACGATGGTAGGAGAGGATAAATCCGCAAAGCCTGCTATCATTTCCAATAACGGATTCATAGCCCGTAGTGATGCATTCGCATATTCTAGTCGTAAACGACCGCCAGGTATGTAATTTTCCTGATTAGAAACATCTATTATGAAAGTTGGTCTCTCATCTTGCTCTAAAAGTTCGATTATGCCCACTTTATGAATCAATGAGCCTTCTTGAGGATCCGCGCTCAGCTTGGGGCTGGCTGTACGCCTTTGTTGTTCTAGATTCAATGTGGGCCCGATGAATTTTCCAGGAGGATTCGAGTTGTTACCCAATATATTACCACGAGCTAATCTTTGAGTAGAGCACCGTCAGTAACTCCAAGCTTTTCAGAATAAAACAGTGTCAAAGCGATGCCATGGTAAGTGTGGAAGATCCCAACCGCCAAGTATGGTAAAAAAAAAAAAAAGTAAAAAAAAAAGAGAGAAATCTAATACCGAACCGACTTGAGTATTGTTATACCATTGCCATCTTTATCTAGTTTCGACATAACTGTCGTGTCTATATTTGGAGAACTTTGGGAGGAATGCGTCCTTTTGAGTTTGTGAGTTGTAAATCGGGGAGATCTAGGCGATTGTAGGGTTGTAGGACAGTCGTGTGCTGCTTCATTATCTGCCTGGAGTATATGACAGTGTTTCAATTTTGCGCGGTGCCGTTTGAACTAGATAATGGAGAAGATTTAGTTTCATGAATGTGCAAATTCAATGAAAAGTATATTCCGAGAATCTTACAGGTGGTTCTGAGATTGTAATATCGAAGGTCCTCTCTGGTACATTATCCTCCTCTCTAGAATGTTTCGAGGCTTGCAATGAGGGTGATAACGGCGATAACTGAGGGGTTGACAATAGAGTGGTAGACGAGGCGGTCGATACTCTTCTTTGGGACTCTGGATTGTCTATACCTTGTAGGTCTGGGTCTGGGTCGTGGTCTCTATCTCTATCTCGATTTGAAGAAACCGAAGCAAGCCAAGAATTGCTCTTTTGCGACGACACCGATATGGGAATGTCGAAATTAAGAAGTTGAGATGGAGAATTATTATTGTTTGTTGACGTGAATTGTGTAGATTCTCGAGCATCTAATTCTTCTGTACCATGTGTTGAAATTGACCCCTGTCTCTTTGTCCGATCCAAGCCAGATGCGTAGCCATGAGCCCCACATGACGTCTGTGCCAATGTCGGTTCTAGGATTGGTAGGATTGGTACGGGGCATTGATGAATTGTGATTGTGCAGCGGCTGACTTTGTTCCCTTCTCCTTGCTGCAGGAGATGTTGATGTCGATGTCGATGTTGATGTTGTTGATGCTGTTGACAATTCTCTTCAAATCTTGGAGCAAAGATGGATTTTGCTTCTGAGTTCATTAGTCCTTCTTTATCTCAGTATGAAATGCAATGTTTGTATTGACTTTGAATAGGGTCCGTCTCCTTAATCCATACATTCCATATGATCTTGGAGGGGGGGGGGGGGGGGGGGGGGGGAAGGGCAAGTAGGCGGACAAGCAGAGGTGATTTGTGTCTTTCTCCAAGCTGATCCAAAGAGCAGATGATCTTAATCAAGTTCAACTAATCAATGAATTATTGTATCAGTGTCAATAGAGTAGTTTTGACTACCTACTTATCTGACTCTAACGAATCAATAGAAGGATAGGCAGGTAGGTAATCGGCAATTGTCCTATTGTATTTACTATTGTTGAAATGGTTAATTTGAAAAGATGCTGAGTAGGTAGGTAGTTGGGTACTGTAGCGAGTAGGGTAGACAAGTTTAAAGATTAAACGATAGGGGGTAAGTCGATGGCTTTTTGATACATTTACATCCGTTGATGATAGTCTTCGTGATTTGTGGTTGATTTGGTGTGGATTATTCTCAAGAAAACTCAAGAAAACTCAGAAAACAACAGTAATGGGGGATCATAGCTGAGCAATCACTAGCATAATAAACAAGTTGTACTGTTTTTCCTGTCAAGTTGCGGCTTTGTGGTCACTGGTTGAAGTTTCTTCTGTTCAGTGGTTGAAACTTGTACTTCCAAAGAATGAATGAATGAAAATGGATGGATGGTTTCACGGTTGAAGCAACTAAGTAGGAGGTACCAAGTACTAGGTATTTACTGTATTCCTTCTTCGTACACTACAAGATATATGACTAAAGACAGCATTTAATATAAGAAGTGTGGCAGCATTAACAAAGCCTAACAAAGTACCTAATAGTACCTATTACCTACCTATAGAAGAATAACGATGACAATCCTTCCCTTCCTTAGTGCTTCAATATATTAGATAAATGATTGGTCTAGAGGCTTCAAACTTTACCTATCAAAAGAATGCGGAGGAACACAGGTACATATACTCCGTGGGTACTAGGTACTAAGTATCTAGGCAATCTTACTTTTTGTGAATCCATCTCATCGAGAATTCTACTGAAGATAGATAAAAGGGGAGAAAATCCAATGGACGATTTCTTCCACTCCTAGGAGGCTAGAATGAGATCGTTGATCAATCTGCAAGATTATCTAGGTATGTAAGCTCGGTAAGGTCCTGACTGGCAGTGACTGCAGCTAATCCTCGATCTTTGACTCATAATCTTTACAGCATTGGGAACAGGGAGCGAATCAATCATCAATTATGTCAATTGTACTGTTTCTCATGATTCCGGGGTAACTAGGTAGGTAACTTACCTACCTGGGTATACAACGATTCGGAATCGTGTTTCTTGAGTCAGTCCTTTCAAACTTCGAATCCTTACGCACATTAGATCAGAATTCCATCAGGTCTATAGACTCTAGACTCTAGAGTAGAGATTCCAGTATCTATGTGCTAGCTACTTATCACTACCTATTACTACAAATCAAATCATTCTCCGAACCGCATTAGGGACCAAGATCAGACATATCTGTTCGTGTTTGATCAATTGATCTTGTTTGTGTTCGATCGACTCTATGGCTCTATTACAGGTTCGAGGCTAACGGTAATGAGTTCAACGTATTGGGAAACGCCGAAATTGAAAAACTCCATGACTACTTCGTATATTTCTACATGTTGGAAAGGGTTTCAATACCATGGTACCAAGTACTGAATGTAAAGTTTCAGCTATTTGGATATTTTCCAGGGGGTGCGTTTTGTTCTCAGTATTTCCTCACACCTACTTATTAAGTACTAACTAATGCTGATGTTTTATCGCAGAAAGAAGCTTTGATATCCACTACCTAGATACCTAGATACGAGCCCGGCTCGCTCGGCTTAGATATGTTCATTATTTGGACCTATTTGGACCTACGCTCCACAGTCTCGCAGTTTTATGTTTTTTCTAGCAATTGATTTGACTCGTTAGTGATCAGTATTTACTGTTCCTCTCTCTAATGAGGTTAATCTGCCTCGAGTCTGCTGAATAAATGACGTCGAGATTGTGCCCTCCCGCTCACGGACCGGCTCGAAAGATTGATACAAGGCCCGACACTAGAATTTAGAGGCAGTGCTACCTCTACCTAGTGGTTAAATTTCCGTGTAGAGTCACAAGTGAAGTATTGAATTTGTCCATCTCGACGTACTAGTTGCTTTGCACGCACCTCTATGCAGTTTAGGTGCAATTAGCGTTTCCAAACGGTCTTCTTTTCGATCGAAAATGTTCTGTCTGCTCATCAATTAAATGCAATCTGGATGTCACGATATGTTGATACTTCAATCGATATTTCCCCTTGGCACTTTTTGATATTCCACAGTAGATGCTCTCCAGAATTCAGGAGCTCAAAATTGTTGGTACATTTACAAATGCTCGTGTGCTAACGACTTCCAACCATGGGAGACACAACAAAAGAGTCAATACCTAATAAACTGGATCATGTTCACACTGTGAAGCAGCCCAAAACGCGGCCACCGGCTGGAGTTCGCGAGAAGATATTGAGGAAGCCCTTACCATATTATAGCGGACCATATTCCGTTGGACAAATGGACATTGAAGTACCCGTGCGAGAACCAAGGACAATCTCCAATATCAAGAGACAACATAAACATGTCTTAAAGCTCGAGACGGTCCTGTTCAGTGTTTTCTACCCTTCGAGTTTTGGGTCCGGCGACGGGGTCTCTCCAGAAGGGGAAAGGAAATGGAGTCGAGCGACATGGCTACCGAGGCCTCGTGTTGAGGTGGCAAAGGGTTATAGTAAATTTGCAGGCCTTCCTTCATGGCCTACTATGGCATTCTTCGGCATGACAACTGCCTTCACTAAACTGCCTGCTTTCCGTAATGCCAAGTTGGCAAAACATTGGCCGCCCGAAAATGCTCGAGAATCTGAATTCGGATACCAGACGAAAAATAGCGCGGGAGAACCTCCACCAGGAGAACCAGAGTCACCATGTTTTCCATTGTTGATTTTCAGTCATGGCCTAGGAGGAACGAGAACCACATATAGTTCTGTCTGTGGGGAATTTGCCAGTTATGGATTTATAGTTGTGGCTATAGAACATCGAGATGGTTCGGGACCACGTACTTTCGTTAATTTGCCAAAGATGGGCGATAAATTTGGATCACAGAATGTAGACCATTCTGACGAGGCGAGAGAGAGAGGCTATGAGAGATTTGATTATGTTTTCCCAGAAGGAAATGCCAGAGACACTACGCCAAATAATGAAAAAGGGTAAGCCAACCCATTTACAATTGATCGAGGGTTTAATAAGACCCGGTAAAATCAACTCTGAACATCCAAAACATGTTAAAGGATTTCGGGAAACATAAATTATAATCAAGTAGAGCTTTTTACATTCTACTACTAGCGATTTACACAATACAAAATACACATTCGAAAACTCGGATGCAAACACGGATTCACAAATGCTAACTCGACTCTTGTAGCGTCGATGAGGAACTTCGCTCTGCCCAAATACAACTCCGCCTTGCTGAAATCGAAGAAGCCTACTACATCATGACACAAATTCATGACGGACATGGCGCCCGAATCGCCGAAGCCAACCTCCGGCAAAGTTCTCCCGGTCGTGTCGGTGGTTCTTCCCGTGGTCTAAAAGGTGTCGACTGGCAGAGTTGGAAGAACAGCTTCCACCTCCAACAAGTTACCATGCTTGGTCATTCTTTCGGTGCCGCCACTACTGTCGAAGTTCTCCGCTCCCAAGCTGAACGATTCCCGTACATTTCGCAAGGAATTCTGTATGATCCTTGGGGAGGCGCAATTCAAAAAGCAGATTGTGCTTCAGAGCATCTCATTCACAATCCTCTACTTTGTATCAACAGCGAGGCATTTATGTATTGGCCTTCCAATTTCTCTAGTATCATGTCACTCTGCCGCGAAGCCAAATCACAAGGTACGCTGTGCTGGCTTCTCACTGTCCGTGGTAGCGTACACATCTCGCAATCTGATTTCTCACTTCTTTATCCAAATGTTAGCAGTTTCCTGCTCAAAATGACGGTCAATCCACGGAGAGCCATCGACTTGAATATTAATGCCAGTCTAGAATTTTTGAAAATGGTAATGCCGAAGAGAATTAGCGCCATGAATAGAGGCACTAATGAGGGGTTGCTGGAGGTCAAGCAATTAGATGAGTTACCACATGTGCATCAGCCGAAGGAGAAATATATTGCGGGTAGATTGAGAATTCCACATGAAATGCGCATTCGATTAACACCGCAATGGATACGGATGACGAAAGGGAAGACGAAGAACTGTCATGAAAGGTGTGCTTGTAGGAATGGGAGACGGAAACTAAAGAAAAACATCGCGACAGATCCACAGGGGAAAATACTGTCGGGCTTAGAAGAGTTAGAAATCGGAGACGAGATTTGGATGCATGTTGCGCCGACGGCGGAAGAGCTGAGGCAGCATGGGATTGGGGGTAAGAATGGAAATCAAAGTGCAGCTACTGAGAGGGATAGAGATGAGGGGAATAGCGACGGTATGGTTCATTATGAAGGGCCAGGGGAGGGAGCGCAACAGAAGAATGAGGGGGGTGGGCTGGCAGGCCATAGGGGGATTGAACAGAGGATGATGGATAGAGGGTGAGAGGTAATGAGTAGGAAGGATTAATTTATTATTAATTTCAGGTTGGATTTTGTAGAACTATACAAGTTAATATGGTAAAGCAAAGCAAAATAGATGTAGATAATGAAGCGGTAACTAGGTAATAGTTACTATTTTTCTTGCATACACGTAATATAGTCAGTCAGTCAACTGTTCCCAAAACCATTATTTTCTTTCATCACTGGAGAATTGTTGACCTTATCAATTTCTCTATTTCTATTTCTATTTCTATTTATATTTCTATGCACAGTACACACAATTCTATAGATAAAATGACCACACCCAATGAAACCAAAAACCCCTCACTCATACCCACTTCGTAACACAAAACCTCCTCCTACCGGTATCTATCTAATAATAATAATAATAATAATAATAATAATAATAATAATAATAAATGCCTAACAAGTATAATAACCTTGGATTGGAACTCGGAACCCGGAATTCTCAAACATATGAAAAAAACTTGGCAAAACCTTCGGGGCGGGGTAGGGCAAATATATGATGGGGCAAATATATTAGCGGGTGTAAAAGCTTATGAGTGTCTACTGCGTCGTCCATTGTAGTAAAATTGTAATATCAGAATCGACTTTTCCTTCCAGCTTTCAGGGACATCTACCCCGTGTTCGGAACGGGCCGCAGGTTGGAGTGTGTGACTGATATTAGGTGTGGGGAAATCGAAATTTGGATGATTGATCAACAATGTAATTGTTTATGCTTTGTGGAGCGGTTGTATGTTGTATAGGATTAGTTGCATAGGGAGGTAGGTAGGTAGGTAGGTATGTATGTATGAAATGAATCTTGGAATGAGATAAGTTAGCATAAAAATATATATGATATCCATGTCTACATCCATGTCTACATACGCACAATAATATACCGAGCTGAAATATAATAAGATCTTACATACCGACTAGGTGGTCATTAGAGCTGGGAATACACCGGTACTGTACATCCAGACCTCCAGACCTCCAGACCTCCAGACCTCGACACATCGACACATCGATCCTGGCGTCGATCATTCTATGCCCATTTTTTCTCGTGAATCCGTAAATGGCATTCTGGGAAGTTGCATTCCACGCAGAGGATGGGGGTGGAAAAAAAGAAAGGGAAAAAGAAAAAGAACTTTCGATTCTCGCAGCAGACGGGTGGATCTGACTGAACCCATGTTACCGATGATACTTACGAAGGTAGGGAGGGGAGGAGGTACATGACAATTGGATAATACCGACCTAACCTACTATCTAGGTATGTGCATATATGCAAATCTATATTCGGTATAAATAACAAAGACTTAACCCTTCTCCATCAAGCGTCATTCAACCTTAAACATCCACATCGCCGACACTCATTCTCATTTGGTCCTCAGAAAGACTACTTCGTACAGTGACAACGAAAATCATACGTGCAGCCAATATCGATTTCAGCACCTGCGCCAAGACTGAACACAACACGAGCGAAAAGTATCGATGAAAGACAAGGTTTTTTTCTCAAACTGTGAGCTTCTTTCACCATTTGTTCATTTGTCCACACATGTTACCCTCGTTACCTCATTACCTGTCCTGTTTACCTGTTACCACTTCAATTTACCAATCTGTCTAGGTAGGGGTGGGGAGAGAAAGTGTCCAAAAGAGACAGAATAGGGAAAGGAACCTGTTAAATCCTATCGATCTGGAGCACCTAGAGAATCTGCAAAGTATGACTGGTATTTGTCAAGTGTTTTTTTCTTTATTTACATCTTTTTTCCATCCACTCACAGGTGCGATGTGTGGTCTTGATCATATCGTATCATATCACATCACCAACAAAACATAACATAACATAACATCTCTCCATCACGAGGTAGCATCAACTTTCTTTACTCTCTACTACTATTGCATCAGCAGTAGATTTTCGATTTCGCTTTTGATTTCCATTTGATTTTGATATTCCTGTCACTATTCCGTAAATTCGCGTTTGCGATTATATTGTGGAAAAAAGAGAAAGAGGAGAAGATAATTCTTGGACAATCTCACTGCTTTATATCAATTGCCCTTCGCTACTTATTACTAGATACCCTCACAATCACCATATCATAATTCGATACCCGCATTCACTACTCAGAGTCATTTGATGAGAGCTGCGCCGAAACGCTCAAATGTGTCAAGCGCTTCAGTAACCCTGTCCTTGAATTGATCATCTATCACATTTTAATTCAGGTACAATCTCGAAATGAATTCCAAGGAGAAAGCGAAACATGACCGCTCGGAATCAGCACGGAGAAACACACTTGAACGTATGCTCGAGTTAGAGAACAGGAGCAAGGTACGCAAAAGAACATCTCACATAGCCAAGTATTATTGCCTAACATACATGAATTAGCTGCAGCGCATGCAAGCCTCGACAGCGACAGTCAGTCAACCGCTGCGTAATAGCTTTTTTCGCGAGAGGCGTCCCAGCAATTCTAATGTATATACCAACTTTCCTCCCGAACATCCTGTCCCCTTCAGACAATCAGATCGAGCAATGACTGCTCCAACATTATCCGTGGCGGTGCCTCCTGCGCAGATATTCGACAAACCTAAAACAGCACCCAAAACATCGAAAAAGGTATTTGTAGTTGAGCCGGTGAAGGAAAAGTCCCCGCAAATTGTTGCAGATGTAGATGCAGACGATTCTGATGCATCCTCGATATGTCGGTCGCCGGCTTGGGATGGTGGTGATGGCAAGCAAAGAAGAATGGCAAAGAAAGAAGCTCAAGATAAGCGCAAGAAGGAAGAAGAGCGGTTAAAAAAAGAGAAGGAGAAGGCCGAAAGGGAGACCCGAGCCGCGGCACAAAAACAAAAAGGTCGATTGAGCAAGGCGCCTCCAGCCAACAAGCGCCTAAGTAAAACGATACCCGCAGTTCCAGTGGGTCGAGCCAGTTCTGAACCTGCAGTACAAGTTGCGCCGGAAATAATAAAATTGAGTCCTGATCCCGATGATGGTAGACGATCAAGGCGAACGAGTTTGGATCTTGGTCTCAAGAAACTTATGTCTTCTTTCAGATCCAGATCCAGATCCACAAGCATTTCTGCGGATGCAACGCCAAGAAATCAATCAACCTCGAGTTCTCCCACCTCGACTGGATTTATTGGAGGTTTAAAATTGCAACAATCGAGTGAAGCTGCGACTCAAAACGAACTCCGAGACGGGAAATCGTCAAATAACAGACCAGCTAGTCACAGTAACAAACCTAGTCAGAGTCGACCACCCATATCAATAGAGAATTCTCGATATCGCACATTGGACTTGATGGCTCCTTTTGGAACCAGTACACCCGCTGTCGAACTCCCAACAAAGTCCCAAAGTGAGGACTCCTATAGCCCCCATACTCTGAAAAGGCCGGAAGCCAGTGAGCAGCCGGCTAGTGATCTAGAGCCAATCATGAATAGGAACCCTCGAGCCCGAAAACCGAACGAAAACTCGAGATTGGATCATGTTACAGAGTCAACAGTGAATCATGAGGCTAATTACAAGCCTCAATCGCCGTGTGCTGCTCCGCCATCTCCAGGCTTTAGATTCGGTTTGGAAAACACCCCATCATCAACCCAAAAAGTACAAGAACCTTTGTATTCCCAGGGCTTTAATATATCTCCTGAGGATACTAACTCTGAAAACGACGACTATTTTCCAACGCAAAAACGGCACGGCAAACAATGTGATCTAAGTAGCTCAACCCGTGATATCAAATTGGACGCCGCTCCGATAAAGGAAGTCATGAGAAGAACGCCGTCAATTCATAATGCGACTGGGCGTAGTACGTCGATTTCTTGGGCCAGAGAAAATGTGGAAGTAGTGGAGAATGAGGAAGATTTTCGGGCATTCATAGACGGTGAAAGCGTTCCTTCGGATTTCAGGCTCACTGCGCAACCATCCCAGAGCAGCATTCAACCAGAAGAGGGTATGTTCTCTAGGCGCGAATTGCAAGTCCCATCTTTCTATCCGAGCCCATTATCACTCCAACCCAAAGGAGCCAAGAATGGTACAGCGAATGTAAATCATAGATATTCGTCTGCCCCAGACTCGCCTTCTCTACAAACTTCTCATTTGGATGAGCCTCTTAAAAAGCTACGTTCGCAATCTACCCTTTCGCCACGTGCCGCTGGTTTCGACAGCAGATCTGCACTCCCGAGTCAATCTGCTCGGAGAGTATCAGAACCCGAATACTCATCTCCCACCTTTTTGTCGCCTCTAGAGATCAATCCTGTGCCACAGCAAAAGCTCCCTCCCCAAACGGCTAACCCAACTTCACCTCGTCGCCAGAAGGATCGCAGATCCAGCTCTAGATCTTACACAGGATCTAGCGAGGAATATCTGAGTTTCGATGAGCAGTCCAGTATCACAACCCCAGCAGTTTCAAGACCACAATCGCAGAAGGGTCCTATTGCATCTAGTCATGATACCGCATCTCGCAAGTATCACAAGGTCAAAGATTCATGGAATCAAACTCCGATTCCAGTTAAAATCAAAGATGAAGAAGATATTGCTTATACGCTAAGTGGCCAGGCCACTCCTACTTCACAATCTGCAAACCTTCATGCGTCTCTAGCTTCAGCAGATCCCAACACAGATGCGGGAGTTGCCGATCTTCAACGGAGACTTAGTCTGAGTAAGTCATCCTCGACTACTGCACTGCAACACACTTTGAATTTCCTACCAGAGCTCAAACATCAACCATTGCGTCCACGACAAGGTCCGGGAAAACGACAAAGTAGTGAGGGAAAGAATGTACCTGGGAAGGGAGATGTAAATGGGCACGGGAACGGGGGAAAGCCAAGACGAGAATCGGCATCTACCTCTGCTTACGCGCAATACAACGATTCCAAAAACTCACTCATGTCATCGTCTGCTCTCAATGGAGGCGAATCATCTAATTCTAACAGCAATTCGAGCTCTTCTGAGAAAGACAACAGTAACGACAGCAGCCAATATCTTCGATCAGCCCGTCTCGCGATCCCACCCAGAAATGGTCCTCGCATGTCCAACCAACTCGCAGCCTCTTCAGCACAGAGTCTTCATAGTAATGGACAAGGTGGAATTGAACCAATGGCAAAAATGTTTGTTATTTGTTGTGGGTGCAACTATTTCCATGATATGCCGAGTAAACTCTATGAGTGTATGGCGAAACCAGAGGCGGTAGTCAAGGATGAGGGATTGGGGGTTAGTGGGGTAGTTAGCACGAGGGTTAGCTGTCCTTGGTGTGGACACGGAATGAGTACGAAGTGTTGTGAGGGGTGGGCTGCGGTGGTGGTGTTGAAGGAGAGGATGCATTAGGGTGTTATGGAAGAATGGATAGGCGGAATGGGAGAATGAGAGGAGGGAGTTAATGATTCATTTTTATGGGTGAAAATCTTAGCGTAGGGTTGGATGGTAGATCATGGTTTGAGGATTGACGAAAAACTTGGATCTGTTTCAAAGTTGGTAATGAGGGATTCAGCTCGTTTGGGTTTGGGCATGATAGTAGGAAAATATTAGACGCATGGTATGATATGATATGACAGCATTGCATGGATAGATGGATATTGAGGGAGGGTGAAAAGGGATTTCACATGGACAAGAGCGAATGGATGATTTATCTGTCAAATGAAAGGATAAGATGGGATACAAGATTTACGATAATGATACGCATATACGTGGGGATATAATTGAGCTATGGGTTTTGGTTTGTATACAGTTTTTGTATATGGAGATGGTTGGAGAGGAGTGGAGAGGAGGTTTTAGGTAGGGGCTGAGAGAGTGTGTGGGGCTGTTGGGGTGGGTGATTGTGGTTGTGGAAGGACTTGAGATTGGGGGACTTTGTGGGATAGGAGAAATAGTGGTATTTAGGTAAAAGCAGAATATCCAATGATGAATGAATCGATGAGTCAATGACGATTTTATGGATACATTGATGAAGAGAGAATTGGGTAATGTGTGATGCAAATCTTAGGTATAGGAAATGGATATACGGATATCGATAGTAGAAACTCCAGTCTTTTTATCCCAAGATTCTATCAGAGATCGATTGTAAATAGACGTCACACTTTGTGTGTTTTCTTAGAGTCCTCTGTCTAGTGTCTTCCATCTAATTTATAATAGCTAGCTAGCTAAGTATACATATTTGCTGATATAGGAGACAAGCAGAAATATATCAGTGTGCGGATTTCTAGACTCGATCTATTTATTTGTTTATTAGTATCATCACGTTGAAATGCGGATTTGGAGTATACATACTTGCGTGGAAGTTTGGATTGTTTTGATCAGAATAGTGAATTCCAGGATGCAATCGGAACTTGAAGTGGCTTTTTGGGGAGGAGGTTGACTTTGGATGATGAGATGTGAATGCTTACTAAATGGGCGGTCGGAGTATAGTTCTCACATGGAAAATGGAGAGGAGGGACTTGCTTAGATGCGGCTTTGGGGGTGTTTTAAGCGAAGGGGTTTGGGGAGAAAGGGAAAGGGAAAGGAAAGGAAATTTGAGAATGTTGGACAATTTAAGATTTGAAAGTTATGTTGAGATCGGATTCCAGGTTACTTGGCCCGCTACGCCTGTCAGGCTGTCATATTTCATGCCAATATCTTGTGCTTCCCAATCGTATCACTTGGCGCTTTCACTCTAACATGTGTCTGGAAGAAAATGGTCACTGGTAGAGATCCGAATGAGCAGCCTTAATAAACCCAGCACCCCTTTCGCGATCATGTAAATTGCATTTTGAATTCGGCAATCTGGGATGACAGGAAAAAACAGCTACATCAGTGATACGGATATTCTTGACACCGAAACTCCTAAGTTCATGATCAACAACACCTTGGTCGATGGGTTTCCCAAGACGGACGGTTCCGCAGGATCTGGAGGGTAGATTGTTCGTATTAGTTTTGGTTTGATGGAAAGATCTCGATAAGAGGCCCAACTTATGGAATCCTGTCGGACTTCTCTCTAAAATCATCTTATGCATCACCTCCTCGCTATTTCGAGGCATAGGCCAGGGATAATCTTCCCCTATGATATCTTTCATTCCGTCACCGTTCATTAGGATATCATCTACATATTGACATCCTTCACGCAAAGCGACGAGATCCAGATCAATGGAGAGGAAGTTCAGGTTGATGAGTGGCTGCTCAAGAGGATTGGTAGAATTGAGTTTTAAATCTCCATTGCGCGAGAGAAAACGTAGTAGATCTACGATCACGGTAAGTTAGAATCTGGTGGGTGGCGTGGGGATATGTCACTGGAGGCATCGCTCGTGCAGGGATTTGACTTTGATGTGATCTTACGACCATCTTGAGTATTCAAATTCGAGATCAGCTATACGATATTGTGATAGAGGATTAAAAATGAGAGCTATGTGATTAAGGGTCTGATTAAATTGTTGGAGGTGGACGATGAAGTGAGTAGTTGAGGATGGAAAATACTCTCACTCTGCATCTCTAGAATAGATGAAGCCTTCACCATGTGAAGTCTGTGACGTCTTCTACATTTTCGACCTCGCGAAAGTCTCAATCGATTATACCCGATGCTCACCCGCGACAATCCGAATCGGAATATGGGGAACATTCATCCCTAACCTCGCTTTCTCTGTGTGGTAGTATGGAAAGGATTGCTGCCAAAGTAGGCAAACTATTAAACCCGTCTTTTCTCATATCCAGATGTCGCTCGCTACCGTCTCGGCACAAATTATCAGCAACTCCAACCGACCGCTCCCCATTGTCCCGTCTACACACCGTATCAACGCGATGGTCTCTCTTCAATTAACGGTAACTATGGGCCCGATCCAAATTATGTCCGATCAAGCTTCGTTCCACGCTCCTGCGACTTGAAATGCTCAGGCCGTGCATAATATTTGGCATGAGCACTGGAGCGGAAAAGTCACGGCGTTTACGAGTGAAGTTGTAGACGATGATTCTGTACAGCCGAGGAGTTTTGGGGGAGAGGTTCTGGGAAAACAGGAAGGCCAGCTGGAAAAATTTGTGGGAAATGTTGCGGGAGAGCTAGCGAATGTCAAGCATGAGAGAGTTAGAAGGGAAGCTATTGGTAAGTTTTGTGTCTTTTTGTGCGTAGGTAGTTGAGTAATGTGAAGCTTATGCTGTTTATAGAGATCTTTAGGAAAGTCGATAATGGATTGACAACGAGAATAGAGAAGATGATTGCAGAGTTTTCAAATCTCTGAGCAATGAACAGGCGATAGAAAGGTTGATTTATGCGTCTGGTCTAAACGATTGTTGTTTTATATCGCAACAAGAAGTTTGTCTCGATAATCTATATCTCTAATAAATCAATCTCAAGGTTTTAAACTGTACAAGAGTCTCGCGATACTTTTTGTTTGGCTGGTTCATTTGTGTTATGGCAAGTTTCTGAGATTACAAGCTCGAGATCTTTGTGAGATTTAGAATTGCATACCTCTTTTAGATTATAATGGCAAGAAAGTACTGGGATTAGATCACTTAGCATTGATAAAAGTGAGGTGATAGCTTAAATATTATTTACCTGAGGAGGGTAAGGGCGACTTTCTCTACTCCCATTCCGCATCGGGATATGTCAAGTATCAGCCTTCCCTGACTTCTGGTCTTCAAATCACCACCTTTCAAGAATCCTCTTACTTATATCAAAAAGGCAATTCACGAATTTGTCTTTGCATTTGCTTACTATAACATTGTACCATTACATCAACTCTATATTATTCAAGCATAAGCTACAAATGGACACATCAGAGTGGAGTTCGAACCTTGCGGTGAGAAACAAGGAACCTATAGTCACCGTGAGAGAGATTCTACAAGATTCAGAGTGAGTGCAACGATCTTCCAGAACAACCCTTGTTGTCTATACCACTGAAATGAAACCACTAATCTTCTCAACTGCACAGTGTCGACGACCAAAAAATAGAACCATGCTCTTCCCACAGTCCTCGCAAACGCAATCATTACGAGGTGGAGAGAAACTCGATTATTACTCCATCGATCCGGTAATTCTCAAAACAATATAGGGGCATTGCAGTTCGTTTTGACACTGTTGACACTTTCAACCAGAAAACCAAGCAACGAGAAGGAACAAGTTTCGCCAGCAAAGCGCCAACGCAATGATAGGTGCATGGAATCAATTCGCCTACAGACAGAGTACAACGGCAAGAGTCGAGGGACCATTTTCATGGGAGGGTAGGTAGAATTGGAGAATGTCTGTGCATTTAAAGCTGATTATCATGCAGAGAGATTGCTGCATCGAAGAAGGGCAACGAAAGAATTCCTGATACGCCCAACATTGGGAGACGATTTGAGGGCTTAAAAGTGACGTTGTCGTAAGTTTTGCTCATTTTTAATAGCCCAAACAACATTTTGATTAATGCTAACATAGATACCAGGAGATCAGCACCACCACCATCACCTCCGTCTGATAGCAATGAACCGGAGTCTTTTAGTACCAATGAAACTACGTCCATCGAGGCAAACATGTAAGCTAGATACTTACTTAGGGCTTTGATAGAGACTTCAAGCTCTAACTTGCCTAAACCTTAGACTCCCCATAGACACACTTAGTCCCGCACTAGCACATCTTAGCTCTGCGCACCGCGAAAACCCCAGACCAATTTCTATTTCTAATAGCTCTGAATCTCGTCATTATAACTACCACAAACTCGAGAGTAACTACGAAAATCTTCCACAAAATACTTCCGAAGCTCAAACTTTCAAGGAACGCAGCGACAAGTACGAATATAAGCCTAATAACACCGAACCGAAACAGAATTGCGAACACATCAGCAACACCTTTGAATCTCTCTTTCCCATAGTCGAAGATTGGATCGAGCAACAAAGGACTCAATTCGATATCGTTACTGAAAGAATCAATAAAATTTTGAGCTTGATACAACAAGGCGAACGACTACTACAGAACGCCATGACTTCCGAAAACGCTTCTCGATTGGAGCTTCTGATCGACAGAATCACTCATGTACTCGCAGGAGATTTCAGGATTGATGATTCTAGCTCTGCAGTACCCAATTTTCCACCAGAGAGGGATTTCGTCGCCCAACTTACAAACGTGTTTGTGTCAACCGACCCTTCCCAGGCTTTGGAAGAACTCCAACAATTCGCCAACATGAGATCAAACATGGGCGTAAGTTTGAGTGAGAAAGAAGGAAGGTTTATCAATACCATTAAAGCTCTCGGCGCTACACACACAAGGCTCAAGGAGGAATGGAACATGCTCAACTTGAAAGAAGACAAGGCAAATTTCAGATTCATGCTTGAGATGAATTCCTGTGAGCGAGCAAAAGTTCTGGAAAGGGTTTGGGATTTGAGGAAAGAAATTGCAAACTTCTACATGTGTGCTGACACAAGAAGATGAAGTAAATTGTGACATGCGACAGAATGATGTAAAACTGGAGTTATTGGGCTGCTTTTCGCGAATATATTTATACCTATGAGCTTAAGCTCGTTGATGTTGGAGTAGTGAGGTGGGGCGGGGCTTCTATTGATGTAGCATCATTATCTTCGACTCTGCAGGGCATGCACCTTTCTCTGATCTCTTTCTGGGTTTTTGGTCCAATAAGAGAAGGGTCTACAGTGGCCAGCTAGAAAAGATTAGTTGTCACATATCATGAATAGAAGATCAACAGTTATCAAAAATCATACGCTGATAGGAAATTTTATAATGTGCACATTTACTTGGTGTTTTATTTTCATACAGTGGTAAGAACACTGGCATTCTTATACCACGTCAAAAGAGGATTCTCTCCGTTCTTGGTCTCCGTCTGTTCCACATAAGCCCATCGGTTCAGAAATTCTTCATGTGATAACACTTGTGTGAACTTTCCTGTAATGGCTCTGTATACATTATCCATGACAGCGAAGTCAGTAGGGAATAATATGTCGAAATATCCTTGATGTACCTATATGCCGTTAGCAATGATGAAAGGGACAAGAGATATTCATGCTCACAAAAGGCGTCGTGACAGGAACTGTTCTCCTTTTATATCTCGTCTGTACAACGGGTGCATTGACTCCCTTGATCGTGTCCGGCAGCGAATGAAAATCACTTGTTACTAATCTATGTGCTGGGAAATACTCGGCGAGAATGTCAAAGAACTGCATGAGTCTCGTCGGTATATATTCTGGCTGACTGAGATTCGGAGCGAATGGCATATTATTCCTCAAAGTCTTCACTAGTTTGTTCTGCGGAAGGGGGTGTGGGTATTTTCCATTGGTAGCAGCGTGTCGTACGCGAAGGAATCTAGATGCTATGGGATCGATGGTGGGAGTGTAGAATTCGTAAAAGTCGCCGGTGTTGGATATCAAGACGGTGCCCTGAAGGGGTTCTTCGGTTACAGGGTCGTATCGAATAGAATCGTGAGCAAAGTTGTCGAAAACTTCCATGGCGAGGAAGAAACATGGTGACGGTACTATCCGGTTCCATTCAAAGACTGATTTGTTGATAATCTCAACTTTAGACGAGTGTCCTCGAGAATTGGCATTCCGTAGCAGGTGTGATTTCTGGAGCGATGCAAGATTGCTAGATATCTCAATGATCTTAAACTTTGTGCGGGCATAGACCTCAGGTTCTGTGGCGCGAATGTAGTCGAGTATATTGAGCATGAGAGTACCATTCCCTGCACCCATCTCGTAGATTATGAGATCGTGGTATGGGTACTGCGATATTTTGTAATTATTGATCAGATACCGGGCTATAGCTTCACCATAGTAGGGTCTGAAGAGCTCCGTTGGTGTATGCCATAGTTGGCGAGTCTCATTAGGAGACTTGAGATCCAACTCGTCCTCAAACTCTGTGTATCGTTGCCCCAGGAGACGGTGAAAGGCTGGTTCATCTTCGAGCGAGTTGAAGTCGAAAGGTTCGCCAGGAGTGAAGATAACGACTTGCTTTGAGAAGTAACCATAAGACGGATTATATAAACTGTCTGCGAAACGTATTAGGAAATCTCACGGTATATCGACGACTAGATGGTGAATACCTTCGATGAAATCTCGCGTGAGCATCTTCACACGCCTTGGTCTTTCTCTTCTCCCCCTCAACTGATCCGCTGTAACCATGGGATACTTGTTGAATTCCTCCATCATATCTATCGGAAAGATATCCGTTCTCTGCTGCCAATGGCTTTCATTCTTGCTTGTTTCCTTCACTCCTCTACCCCTCCTACTGGTGGTCGACAAACATCTCAGCTGCGAACCATGCCCGTTCCATGCTCGAGGAGACAACGAAGAATGGGATCGCAAAACCTCACAGTTCTTATGTCGGAATAGCTGCCGAAACAGTTGTGCCACAATTGGGGAGTCCATCGACAAAAGTGTTTAAACTCTTCTGTGTGTTTCTTGGGGGACCTCTGTCGCAATGCTGAGTTCTGGTTGGTCCAAGCTTCTTCCGCAAAGTTTTGCAAGGATATTGAAAGAGTTGACCTGTTAAAAATCACATCATCAACAAAATGATTTTGTTCACGACTCATCGTTGAAATAGTAATGATGGTGAGAATACCAAGGATATAATGTCTCTGAGCAATCACCCCAAGGCATATGGCTCTGCAGCAGTTGCAATTGCATTCGTCGCAGGAGTTCTGTTGACATTGGGTTTCAAGGATTTATATCCTGATTTGGAACGAAGATATCAAAGACGGCGAAAGGGAACTGGAACTGGAACTGGAAATGAAATCATTACATCTGATTCATCTTCATCTGATCTAAGACCGGTTGGCTCTAACCTACCTCCACTAAGGCTAGAAGACCGTACTCGGAAATCAGTTGTCGGATTGCCGAAACCTCTAATCCCAGAAGGAATAGAAGGATGTATTGGAAATACGCCATTATTCAAAATCAAGAGTCTTTCCGATGCAACAGGATGCACTATTCTTGCAAAAGCGGAGTTTTTGAATGGGGGAGGAGGAAGTCCCAAAGATAGAGTAGCATTGAATATGATTTTGATGGCAGAAGAGGAAGGATTCCTGAAACCTGGCCGAGGCGACACTATTTATGAAGGCACGGTTGGATCAACTGGCATTTCACTTGCAACTTTAGCACGTGCCAGAGGATATAAAGCATACATTTGTATGCCTAATGACCAGAGTACAGAGAAATCGGATCTTCTGCATCATTTGGGAGCCACAGTTGAACGAGTCACCCCAGCACCTATCACTTCTACTGAACATTTCGTCAATCTGGCAAGACGGAGAGCAAAGGAACATACGGCCTCTAAAACGGATTCCAGTAGAGGGTTCTTTGCTGATCAATTCGAGTCTCGTGCAAACTACCGGGCACATTTTCAATCTACGGGACCTGAGATCTATGCCCAGACAGGAGGTGATGTAAGCAACCAAACTTCCGGAATTCAACATACAATTTAGCTAATGACGTTTAGATTGATGCATTTGTGGCCGGTGCTGGGACAGGAGGAACCATATCAGGCGTAGCGCTCTACTTAAAACAAGAGCAACTTATGGGACAAGATCTCAAAGTCGTACTTGCAGATCCAGAGGGGAGTGGCCTTTACAACAAAGTTAAACATGGCGTCATGTTCTCTTCAACGGAGAAGGAAGGTACAAGACGTCGGCAGCAGGTTGATACTATCGTCGAAGGGATCGGAATCAATCGGTTAACGGAGAACTTCGAAGCTGGGCGAGAGATCATCGATGATGCCGTGAAGGTCACAGATTTGCAAGCACTCAAAATGGCGAGGTGGCTAGTAGAGAAGGATGGTATTTTCGTTGGGAGTAGCAGTGCTGTCAATTGTGTGGCAGCTGTAGCAACAGCTTTGAAATTAGAAAAGGAGAGTACGGTGGTTACTATCCTTTGTGATAGCGGAACGAGGCATTTGAGTAAATTCTGGAAGAAGGTGGGAGAATTGGGCTTAGAGGAGGAACATGATAGCCAAGATTTACTGGCTTACTTACGTCTTCGACCCACCGAGGAATGAATATGGTGATAAGCTCATCGAACCTTCACTCTTAGCAAGAAAATATATGGCAGTTTGGTTTTACAGCTGAAAGGTCATTCGTACATTTTCAAATTGGGTCACGCAATAAGCCTACTTTGATACAACTTTGGAACATATGATAGACCTTTGTTGCTCGACTTCGTTGCAAGAAACCTAGTCGGTATTTGCCTCTTGCGTCTAGGCAATGATGGAACGAACGGACTTAAGGCTGGGAGTGATCACATTCAACGGAATTACTAAAATATTTGGCTTCCACTATATTGTTGGTGCGAATTAGTTCGTATGGATGCATGTTTTTGAGAACAAGCTAGATTCTGTATAACTAAAAAGAACAATGTGCATACGGCAACACACCTGCCACCCTCCTAGAAAGGAAGAAATGGATAGAAGCAGGACATAAAAAGACATTTATTAAGCGGGTTCAATAAGCGATCACATCAAACCATCGTTTTGCAAATTTTCTCCTCCAATCCACCAGGTCTCGAGATCTACTCTCATGAATACTCTCAATCATATGTTAGACACCATATTCGCATGTAAAAGGCGTGAAATCAAGAAGTCGAGTAAAATTACCGCAAGTGCTCTTTATCACTCTTCAGAATTTGCGGGTGATGCGGCAATTGCTACTTTGCTAAAGCTGTGCCATCTAAAACGAAAACAACTCTCAAACAGAGATGAAGTCGTTATTTCACACGGTATCAGCAGTGGCATACTCGATTGATCAACCCCACAGAGGTTCAATTCAGCTGAAGTCGTCTGTATTGCGTTCACCGCAGAGCTGTGACGTGGTGGCACCATTTAAACCGCGCAACGAAGTTCTGCAGATCGGGTGGATACTATTGGCTTAAGTTGTTGGCAGATTATCCGCGGACGATCCTGTTGTGACGCGGCATGACCTTGCGAAGATCACGTGAAAGAGAAAAAGAGCTCTCAAAATGCTTAGATCAATACAGGATTCTTGTACAATGTAAGCTTTTCTGCACTTGGTACCTGGGTACACTATATACTATTACAATAGACTATTGCATTGGCCAGAATAACTTACACACTAGTCTATAAATGTCAAATTGTACTAAATAATGAGCACGATTTTTAAAGACAGCCGGTAGTACAGTAAAGTTCATATGTAAATATTGTCGATAAGAATTTTTGGGAAGATACATCCGCTTAAGGCTTTCATATAAACATCACTACACTATGTAAGATATCGTGCAACGTATAGGAAATTTCATACTACGGTATATATTATGAAAGTCACTACATAGTGATACACAATATGTCTGTTCCGGATAACACCGCAAAGGCTATTTATCAGAACCATGATAGGAAGAGTGTAGATTGAATCAATCGATCTATATGTTCCTTGCTTGGTTGAGATGACCAAGAAGACATCCAATGACACCCGGGAATCATATCTCAATCTGTAGGACTTATGACGTATATCTTAACATTTGCTTAATGTTTTAGCTAAGGGTTTCGCAATAAGACGGGGCTCGCTTGATAAGGGCTGTGACCTCGTTTAGACGGCAACTAGGATTATTTTGGTTCCAAATCGGTCTATTACGTTCTTCACAGCCCAGGAGCCGAACCGATTTCCCAGATGGCCTCAATAACCGAGAATCTAGAATTTTGAACTGCCGCAATACCTTGAAATTTAAATCCCCAATCAGCCTTCTCAAACAACTGAGCCCACTCGTCCGCATCTCGCTCTCTTCCGTTGAGGCATGACTTCGTTATAAAGTCGGATCCTCTGTTAATACTATCAGTAACTGGTATGCTGATTTCCAGGAAAAGACATACCTCGTTCGCCTCTCTTCCCACAACGAGGTATTACCGTCATATTTTGGTAGACAAACTTTTCCAATCAAAATCTGGGCCTCGTGCTTGAGAGCAGGAATCAAGTTTTGGAGAATTCGAATACTGTATTTGTCAGACCAATCATGGAATATCCACCGAAATAGATATGCATCGGCGCCTTTGACTGGCTGTTCCGTGAAGAAGTTATGCGCAACTATATCTACTCGTCCCCTCAAGTCTTCTGGAGCTTCGATGTCTTCCATCATATCGGGGAGGTCTTGAGAGATACATTTCATCTTAGGATGATGCCTCGCCAAGTCGATGCACATGGCACCTTAAGATCCTCCCAGCTATGCGATGCAGGGAGTTAGTATTCATTTGAGCAGGGACAAGAGATCATGCACAGCACTTCATGAGTAAGTCGAAGAAAGGAACTGAAATTCTTCAACCGGAAATTCGCGAGATTTGGGGTATTAGACAAAGTTCATGGGTGCCATACCTCAACCACCAACCCCTCACTTATGACCTCCCAATTATAATGTTCAATCAGCCCGGCTCTTTCCCATCTGCCACCAGCATGGAAGAAGGTCAAAACATCTGCAAATCGCTTTTCACGGTGAGAACTTTTCTTCATGCCTTCAAAATAAGTGTCAAATTGATTTGTGGCCAGGTTGTATCCGGTTTCATTCGGCTCCTGGGAGTCCGGCCATCTTTCTATAGCATCCACCATCCGTGTGAAAGCAGGCCAAATTTCATCTGTTACAAGTCCCAATCATGATTCCACAAGGGGTGTTGTAGCAATAGCTTTAGATATTGAAGTGTGTGCTACAATCCCATCGCGTGGCTCTCGGAAAGTTCGATGAGTCTTGGCCATACGGATGACGCGCCGAATATCCGCTTCAGGTACCCCGACCGTGTCAGCAATCTCAGAGAAAGATGCTTCACCGTCGAGCGGAAAACTCGATGTCAACTTCTATCGATATATCGCGTGAAGTGTTGGCAAAATCGTAATCTAAGTTGATTAGCAGGTGCTGGTCTTTGAATTGAGTACTCACCAACATTCATGGAGGTGAGGACCCCAACGAGACCCCCTATAAGACTGTTCAATTCTTCTGTTGCCTCAAGAATAATGCTCTTGGAGGCTGAAATTTCCTTAGAAATCTGAGACGTCTCGCTATAATTCACATCAAAGGATGGCGAGGCAATTCCATGAGACTGGAAGTACTCGTCAACAATTGTTGTATGAGTAGAAATGATCGAGGCCAGTTCCGCAATCCTACTTTGTGTCACGGTGTCTATTGTTTCTTCGTTTGTTGAGGTAGAAACAAGAGGTAATTTTTTAAAATTCAGTGTTGACGACAAATTCATGAAAAACAAACGGGAACTGCATAGAAGGGTAGGCATTTCACCTACTATCCTGACTCCCGTCTTCGCCCCTCTCTTTCATCAAAGAGTAAAGCATGGCTTTGGTGTGATATTGAATATAGAACATATGCCGTAGTTCCGTTGGATCAGAGCAACAAACACGAAAACAAACATAGAATGATGGGATATCATACCTATCCTTGCAAAATTATGGCTCTGATATAAAGAAATGACTTTTGAAATATCTTCTGATTTATCCGGCTAATACAATATGTGGCAAAGGTTTCTGTGTATATATACTTGGTGTCGTCTTGAATTAATGACGAGATAGATTTGGCTAGTGTAGGTACAAGAGATATTCCAAAGATGAGGAAATGTCCCACATTTCGTCGATATGTCGATACCGACACTACACGACTTGCAATCAGTAAGAGATCACACATTATCCAGTTACTCGTTTGTATGTGAGGTTGAAAAATGCAAGCCGGCAAATCTCATAGTTGCGCAATTCATCTGGAGAAGTTCCTCTATTCGATCCTATTGGTCATACAATGGCACGTCTATCCCCTAAAATACGTACTGTGCCTCATCAAGACTTGTAGATTGCAGTGGTAGTCACCAATTTTCACAGACAATATCTGCATGGAGTCGTCGGGGTTAAGCATCACCAGCCCCCACATTTTGTTTCTCAAAGCCTCCTGAATGGGACGATCTTCATTACGCGAATTCACGCCTCACAATTGCTGTAAACAATGAATCGTCTCGAATTTTATTTTTATTAGGAAGACAACCTTCGTCTTCTACCAGAAATAAGCTTGTATTGTGCAAGATCTTATCTTCAATTGTTGAAAATGTTTGTGCAGCAAAGCTATCTGCTCCGTAAATCAATCATGACAGCTTAGCTGGCCCAATCACCATAAGCCTCCTCTGGCTTCCCCTCACTTGCAGAATTATTGCCTCACACAACCTCTTCAGCAATCCTGACGTCAGATTCTAGCCATTAATGAATCTCATGGTATATTCCGCTGCAACTAGTCATTATTTGTCGTTGTCCTTATTCATCTTTCGGTGCTCGCTGTTATCAAAAGCTCACTTCTTCTTTTCTACAAAAAGATATTCGTAAGGCCTAAGTTTCAGACAGCCACCAATATCCTTATCGGGGTAGTGGTTATCGGTGGATCACCTTCTTTATTGTTAGTAATCTTCCTTCGCCTCAATACTCATATGCTCTAATTTTACCCAAGGAACCGTTCTTCGTCACCACTCTCTTGCACAATGCTGGGCCTCGCCAACGCGAAAACACAATTTCATCTGGCCTATGTTCGTTCAAATTTGAGCTGCTCTTGATGTTGCCGTCGACATGTTCATCTATGTCTGGGGTTAGGCGATAGAGGCTCGAATGAAGCACGAGTGGCAGGTGTCGAGCTGGGCAGATTGAATACAGAGAGATGAATCTTGGAACATTCTTTGCTGTATACCTACTTGTTGTCCAAATTTCAAGGCTCGTTCTACAGCGCAATATATCTTATACCCCTCTTTCAATACTATTGATATTCATGTGAAAGTGACAGGCACATTAGCTTCGAGGGTATCTAGTTGTAGGTGTTATTACGTCCAAGCAAAACAGAAACCGAAGTTAATTCTTGTACGCCTTTACCACCTCCCTCCCACGTCGCTTCAATAATAACTAAATTGCTACCTTCTGGGATCCATGCTTTTGGCTTCCCAAAGCGAGGATCAGCAGCTTGGAATAAGTTAGCCCAATCATCGACATCGCGCTCGCGAGAGTTGAAGAGAGGAAGTATGATCATATCCATATCCCTGTTTTCCTATTAGATCTATTACGAAGGACTTACAATTCCAGACTGAACAGGTAAAGAGACCGAGTTGTAACCATACCTGACAGCTTTTTCTCTAAGTAAGTGTATTGTTCTAGGCTCTGGAAGTAGATGGTCGTAGCAAATGACCCGTGCACCAGGTTTCAACTGTGGAATTAGTGCTCGGAGTATCTTGATGCAATGAGCCTCCGGCCAATTATGAAAGATTTGGCTGAATAAATATGCGTCGGCTTGAACGGTTTGATCGGTGAGGAGATCGTTTCCGATGATTTCGATCCTGTCTTTTACATTCTTTGATAAAGTTCTCTCAATTCCATCAACAACGTCCGGCAAGTCTTGAAGAACAACTTTCAAGTTGGGATACGTTTGTGCCAGTTCGACACACATGTGACCTTGTGCTCCTCCGACATCGACAACTTTAGCAGCAGTATCCCAGGGATAGTTCTTGACCAAAAAAGATGCTTGGGATGATACTGATATAGCGCTGCTAAAACAGGTCTTAGCTTTGGCCATACGACGAGATATCTCTGGACGACTTGCGTGATATTTGAACAGACCCTGGTCAGTTTTGTAATAATGACTCCAGCCCTGACGTATTTAGCTTAAGACGACCATCCTTGTGGCTGCGAGAATTTACTGTCTTAGTAACATCTTCAGTGTCTCCATGATTTCTGACAGCATCGAGCGTCTGATAATTCTCAGTAATGGACGCTTGAGATTTGGGATTCTGCCTACATGAGAAAAAGCTTGCCAGCACTCGTCAAACATGAATCCAAGACCTGATCGCGCCATAGGGTTATCAACGAGAATCCTAGACGCTGCAGAGTGAGCCATAAAACCCTTGCGTGGTTCTGTAAAACAACGATTCCAGATCATGGCGAAACGTAGAATCCTTTGCAAGTTGATGACACTAAGTCCACACTTTGTGGAGAGATCTTGATATGATATCTCTCCATTTATGGGTACTTTGGACGCAACATCATACCAGTATATTGCTTGGAGGCTCACCCCATTATACTAATGAAACTGACATTACTCATACTTCTACAGTCCCTAAAATGGCCATAGTGAAAACTTACCACTGGTCGAAGAGCAACAACTGGGCCCTAAAATAAATCAAAGAGCTCAAGACTAGATGTTTTCGCTGTTTCTAGGGCTTTTTGAGCTTCCTCATCTAGCCCAAAATCTACAGGGCCATCTTCGTGAAAAGATGGAGTCGGTAGATTATGGTCTTTGAGATACTTTTCAACTGTATCTGTTGATGCTTTGATTTGGGCCGCTAGGCCAGATAAGCTTGAATTATATATAATTGCTCATATTCTATTTGGTTGTCCAGAAACATAGATAATACAAGACGATAAGGATCTGTTCAAGTAAAGCTGTTCGGTCGAGGATATGGTGAGTTTGACCGGACAAGTCGCTTCTTTCATCGGTCACATGGCAATCGATCCATGAAAAGGCATAGACTTGGTCCCTATGGTGGCAGAATCAGTGCTTAACGAAGTAGACTCTTCATTATTATAATAAATTCTTTAATTATTTAATTATATATTGAATAAATCGTTTTTGAATTTTTAATATGATTAATCTAAATCTTTATAGTTTACGAAGCTTATTTTAATCAATAGAGTCTTAATAAAAAATTTAAATTTTGAAAGCTAATTCTAACTTTTAATCTAAAGCAATCACGTTCAAATAAAAAGGTCTATTTATATCAAAATCAGATTATATTATTTATCTAATACATTCTGTATTGTATACTATAATGATAAAGCTTCTAATTAAAGAACAAATCGAAGGTGAAGTGATATAATTAATAAACAGATCTTTCTTTAAACTTTCGACTAATACCTTTCATTTATTCTAGCCTCTATACTTGCTCTTCTTCTATACCTCTATAATGTTACAACGGATTAGTAACAGGCTGTAGAATCACTGACTTATAGGCTATAATGGTATTATAGGCCTCAGTGATTCAGCTGCAGTATACCGGGGGACACTAGGCACCCAAGGAAAGCCTCAGGCATGTATATAGTATTAGTTATAGAATACACTGAATCATAGGACATGGTTCCTAGGACAGTAGGGTCCTAAGAAGAATAAGCAATACAGGACACAGTAAGCAAGAGAGGTCTTGCTAGGATTAGTAAGCTCCCAAGGGATTAGCCCTAGGACAGGAAATAAGACAGGACGACAAGACTCACGGGACTAGTATCACGTGATGGACCATCCCATCAGTCCCACCGATTATTATCAATGGGATCAGTGGGATCCCACTACGCCCACTACTCTCAGTGAGTGGGATCGATGGGATCGCAGAGTGCAAAGGTCTATATAAGGGAAAGGGTTTCTTTACATGTAGAGCTTCGTGCTCAAGAACAATCATTAGTTTCATTACTATAGTTACGAGAATTGCAACCAGTTACAACCTTATTGAATTCCTACTTGAAGTCTAGTCTAAACCACCTCGAGAGATCTCTAGACACTTCCACGTGACCCTAGAGGCAGCTCCCGTAACATATAACCTCCTTCTAGCTTTTGTAAATACATTTTTCTATCTACATTTTCTATGATTTTAATATTCAAAGATCTTGGAATCTTGAAGGCCTTTGAGGGCCCTTATTTTCTTTTTTATTATTGAAAAATTCAATAATAAATGAGTTGTATTTTGTACTGATAATATTTATTATTAATGAAATCAGCATTTCGTTGATGATGAAAAAGAGATTAATATTGTTATGTATGTAATAGAGATTTGTATGGGGATTTATATTGAATTTCTCTTTGTCTGTAATATTAACTTTGTCACCATAGGGGGTTAGACTGATTTATACCTGGGGGACACGTTATACCTATGTAGTAGCTCATGTTAGATTCGCATAATTGGCTATTCACGCACTCCGCCCTCTCTCGTTGAGCTAGAAAACTCATTTCATTGAAGTTACCGCAATCCATATTAATTGTTTACTGATCCAACGATGAGCCGCCGTTACTGCTAGGGGAGTGATAAGACTTCATTGAAGCATGACGAGCGTAACGAGAAATCGCGTATTCGCGGGGCCCCACATGGTTGAGATAGCCCGCAAGTAGATCTGGTCGCGATCGACAGAAAAAGCAACCGAGCACCACATCATCCGCCTTATTGATGCGGGATTTAGACTGGAGTTAAAAGGGTTCAAAACTTTAATAGTTAATTCCAATTGCTGTGACGATGGCGAGAGAATCCTGGCATCAATTCATACCATACCGCTACACCCCCGCAAACATACATAGAGTTCTATTGTTCTCCTCCTTTTACATATTACGATTGTTTCCACTCGCGATGTTCCAAGAGTCGTAGTCTCTGAACTTATACATATACATACCTTGTTGCTAATTGCCCATCTGAGAATCAAACCCCCTCAAGTTCAAAAAGTCTTGGTGTATCTTTCACTAGCAGATGCGGATACCGCCTTGGAATAATAAGAGTTGCGACTTTCCTACTTGGTTCTTGAAAAACCACACCACTGACTCCCAAGCTGATGATGTTCGCACCTGACCATGTAGATATCGTTTCTCCGGCACGCTGATCTTCTGTCCAAATATTATTTATAGCAACTGGAACACCCGAGTCGCTGCTTCGCGTATTAACTGATATCGCTTCTCGATTTAAAAGTGCCACGTTTAGAGATTTGGTCTGAGATGAAGGTATTGATAGTAAGATGCTAATTCTACGGTCCTTGCAAGTCTGTAAAGACTTAAATTTATCACAACATAAACCCTTTGAGAATATCGAAATGCAAAAAGCTAAAGAGTGAAGACGGAAGTATATCGCACGAAGCAATGAAACAGATACTCTGCATCCAAACCTCCAAAGAGATTGGACTCGCACGTAATGTGGTTGTTCATCTTGACTTTCGTCGCGCAATGGTAGATCAGTACATTCGCTACTCTAGCGACCTAAAACCTGGTAGTGAATATTCTTGCGATATTGCCCTTGCTGGAAAGATTTGTTGCGCCTCTCAGTTAACAGCACTGTGTTCTGCCTGTGTTTGTTTGATACTGCGCTGGTCATAGTGACTTCTGAGTACCTGTGATTTTGCATGCTAGTTGCACATCAATAGATTCTAAATAAGATTCAAATCAGAGCTAGAATTAGACTTTAAAATAGATGCATATCTGCAATGCTTCCATGACGGTGGATTTCGACTTCTCCTCTCCTTCACCTAACAGCCCTTTGTTGCGGGATGAAGCGTCTTTCGTGGGACTATTCTGTTCTTGGAGTCCTTATAAAAGCCTTGCTAATGATTAATATCAAGCTTTTGGTTGAAGCTGCACGGACGGAGTGCATGATGGCTCAAAGATCTTTACGATCGGCTCATCAACAGCTTGACGGCAGTTCGAACATCCTTGGAGCATGAACGGATGTAATGTAAATTCATTGATGTTGTTAATTAAACGGAGAATCATGGCGCTCCTCTAAATTGATCAATAAATTGATTCGCCAGAGTTCTCCTTCTCCCAACTTCTCCGCCCGACTGACCATCCGATCCGGTAGCAGCCGCTGTATTTTCTCCCTCCAATCTCCTCCTCATTCCTTCGAATCCTTCACTTCTCTTCTTGACCTGAACGCCCACCATCCAGCCTGGTAATCTCCATCGCGTGAGAGCTGTAGGTAGCACATCGTTTCGCCAGCAATAACCAATAATCCAGCCGACCATAGCAGATATTAGTGAGCCTGGAAATTGAGAAAGACCTAGTTGAATAGCGGGGAGATATATGTATGATTTATCCGAGAATGTGACTCCCACGAAGTTGTCCTCGGTCATAGGTGCAGAGGTAGCTGCAACTTTGTATTTGTATTGATGCGGAATGACGGCATGATATTGGGCTAGGATAGCAAATATGAGAGCCGTTGGTCCTGCGGGTAGGTAATTTATCGCGTAGAGGGAAAGGGGTCGTAGAAGGATCACTAAGATTGGCGATATTATCGATGTGAAGCAGAATGATAACATCAAAAAAGACTAGAAGTTTGTTGTTAGCAGGTATTCACAGTAGATATGCAGATAGAGGAATGAGCCACTCACGGCAAATCTACGAGATCCCCATAACCTTTCCACCACTCTCATGTTATAGTATGTTAAAGCGCCAAAGAACACTTCTGTCGAATTGGTATAGCATAATTGATAACTGAGCATCCGCCACAATTGATGATATCGTAGCAGATGAGGGTCCGCCTGTATGTAGAAAAAATGTTTCGAATCTGTGATACTGGCGAGGAGTGAGGTTAAGATAACCCCATAGACAAGGCTGCGCGTTACTGGCACATCTGTGAAACCGGTAGAGAGCATAACGACGGTCAGATTGGAATATCAAAACTTTAGGTAGTGTTCCACTTAAAAATGTGATTTTGTCGCAATCCGGTCGTTGAGCATCGAATTCGAACAACCTTGGAATGCACTGAGATTTGAAATGAAAGCAGATGCCAGATTGGCCTTTTCAGCCTTATGATGATGAAAGGGGTGACCTTAGTGCAGTATCCACCGATTTATACAAGGGTGACTCATGGCACGTGCAATCACTAATGACACCCCTTTGCCTTCTTTGACTGCCCCCAATTGCCAACTTGTGATGTCTATTTTTCTGTTCAGATTTTCTTTTCAGATTTTCTTTTCAGATTTTCTCAAAAATGGGTTGTAAGGTATCGTCAGAAATGTATCGCGTTTATGAGCGCGTTCATATCGAGCAAAGGTACGCTATTGAGCACAAATGAAAGATAGACGCCTCTTCAACGCAGGAAGTAGTTCAATTCTATATAAGTCTGCGCATTATATATAAAAAGGTCTAAATGAGCAGGCTCTTGACTCTTTTGCAACGTATCACGGTGATGTCAATGCCATGATCTCTTGTGATTCGATCAATTGCATTGACATAATTCAAGTGATCGAATGATCGTCTGATGCGTACCCAATATCATTCACTTCCCGTCAGACCAAGAGTAGATCGAAGTGAAATCCTCTCCCCAATCAATCTTCCATTGATACTCACTTGCTAAATTGCCCCGAGGTCTATCATCAGTTACGTCCTCGGACTTGTTCCTTGAAGGGCTGAATTTCACCGAACTTCTTGCAGATCGTACATCGAAACTTTCTTAGTTTTAGGGGCTAGCGCTTTCCTTTGGGGCTTCCAATCAGCAAGTGAAGAGGCTGTAGTCGGATCTCTTTCCGGAGGCTTGGGTTCCTTCTCATTGGCGACTTCTTGAGCTTCTGTCGTTTGTTTGAGTCTCTTCCTGATGGAGACGATGTTAGTGAAGTTGGTGGAAGTTTGGTTGCTGATTTTGTAACTTGTCTGCCGCTAGATATTTCGGGAGATATATCGACGCAAATGATTCTTTTTGGAACAGAAGCTTTAACTTCAATGGTCTTGCCGCCTGGGTTCTGTGGTCGCGCAGCAAGGCAGCTTTCAAGCTTTAACTTTGGCTATGTAAATGAATCATTGGCTTCGACTTGAATGTTTTTCGGTGTTTCCCCAGCCATGGATGATTTGTGCTTAAATAATTGGTCACTCTCTTCCACTTGGGTTTTTCTCCTGGAGATTTATCCGACTCGTCGGCAACTGCGAAAATGTTAGTATCTTCACTCCATTGATCCAGTAAGAAGTACTAACAAAGTGTCTCTCAGGTCCATCGCTCTGCCATTCAATACCTCTCCGCATCTGGAATATTTTTGAACATTCTCAGTTCGACCCGATCATGACTTTCAGTTAGAATGTCAAGGACTTGCTGTTCAACATAGCCGTAGCCGATTGCTTTGGAGAGCATCAGGTCGTAAACACTTTTGTAGACTTCCATTGTGATCGATCAATCGTCGATCTATGAGTTTGTGATTTTGAGGTTTGAATCGTTTGATGTGAAAAGTTGAGAAGTTTTTAGTGAGCGAAGTGCAATTCAGCCTCGGGTCATCAACTCAACTTTGAAGATAAAAGAGTTGGATTCAAGTGTTCAGACAGGGTACATAGAAGATGGCAGGAGAGCCGTTCTGACCACAAAACTCGCTTCCTCACACTTTTTTACGTCCACCCAAAGAAGAAGAAAAAAGCAGCAAGCAGGATAGTAAAAATCTGTTGACTGGAGTAGTCGATTTAATACGGGTTTCTAATTGTTCAGCTGCGAATAACGATTCGTGCATATGACTGTCATGAATCATGACGAATAAAGCGCTTTACAAAACAGAAATGGTTCCGATGTAGTGGGCGTGCTATTTCTTTATAGGATGCTGTAACCAGTCTGATACTACTTTTGAGCAGCCGATGCGATACTTCGACTCTATCTTATACACAATTGAAACCCGAATTAAACCACGCTACAAAGTCATAGTAACATCTGGACTCATACAAAAACGTCGCCCATCTCACAATATCCACTTAGAACTAAAAAATTTAAGCCTTCGGTTCGTGCCTCCCAACAAATCCGTCGTATCATCCTACAACCAATATGAAGCAACACACTTCATCCATTGAAACGAATGCCCATTCGCACCCTATCTACTAAATCCCCATGTAACCCACTGACCAAAAAAATCTCTCACTCGAGAACTTGCAAAAAGTCCACCCAAAAGCACTCCTGCACTCACAAGGCCCAAATAACGCCATACCCCCATCTCAATCCCCAGAAACTCCACCCTCTCCATCCCCGAAGTATTCCCCGTTTCCGCAACAGAAACCGGCACATCACTCTTCTCTTCCTTCTTTAATTCCGAGACTGAAGCTTGCACACTAGTTTCCTTTGCTGTCTTCGGTTCCGAGGAACCACGTCCCCTCTTAGCCAACCAAATCGGTTCCGGATACGGTTCTTTACCAACTATATCATTATTTGAGCTTGGGGCTTCATATTTCCATCACATCAGATACTTACACAAATCTTCCCAAGTCCAGAGACTTATCGCTTCGGCTTCTTGTTCTAAGGAAGCTCCATTGAGGCGATTTCCTTCTTCAATGTAGACGAAAAATGTGTTTCGGATGTACCGTTCGGAATAGTTGTATGGTGGGCGAGTGCCTTTTGCGCAAAGGATTTTGAGGAAGATTTGTACGTCCATTGTGAATGGATGTTTGGGTGTGAATTGATATAGTTATTGATGGGTAAGTTTGTGGGTTGGAATATTTTGAGGAGGGGTTTGTGGTCGATGTTGTTATCATTGGAAGAAGAAAAACTTACGGTAAGTACATAACAGTACGGGCAGATCTGAGCTGCACCTGCGTGTTTAATTGAGATCCGCTCCTGCCCAATTGCGGGAAGCAGTTTCAAACACTTTGACCTTGGAGGTAGAACTAGAGTAGGAAATCTCATATTATACACAAATTTTTCACCCCTACACGACTCACCACGCTATGAGCACCGTTGAAACAAAATAGTCAAGTATCCTCCGAAAGAGTTAATTCCACAAGGTAAAATAACGATAATTACCCCAGGTAAAGGGATAATATCAGTAAATCCAATCGAAGCGAGGTCACCAACACCAAGCAAGGCAATGCGCACCCCTTCCAAACCTCACCACCTCACCTCACTGCAACCTCCTGGCCTCACCAAATACGGACGAGTCCAGGAAATTACATTCAAAATTGAATTTGTACCATGCATCAAAGAAAGCAAGTGAAAGCGAATGAATAAATGAATATTAAAAACTATTTGTAAATAGAAGTAAGTAAGCAAGTGAATGAATGAACTCGAAAAAAGCTAGATCCCAAGAAAAGAGTTTCCACATTCCAACAAACCGACTCAAACCCATGCCCTCCTCGAAAGAAAAAAAAGGAAGTTCCAAATGAACATTTTTGTTACATAAAATTGGACAACATGATGCTAAATCATTTTAGGATTAGGATTTTACCGATACGCTCTCTTCCAAATGTTCAAAATCGTATCCATTAGAATGTCCGACGTTGACTCCAACCCCAACGCCATTAATTTCGTCGTTACGCGGCCATTCTGCTTGTTCCAATTGATCGTGCTGATGATGACCATGATGTGCATGATGATCCCTATAAGTATCGTGATCGTGATGTTCGAATAGTTCGTCTTTCGTGATGTTATCTTCACGCTCATTAATATCCTCTGCAGCGATATCCCCTTCCATCTGGACTTCCACACCAGAAACATCAACTCCATTATCTGCACCAGCATCTACACTCACATCCACAGCTTCAACACCGTTCCCGTAGTCCACAGCATTTCTCCTAGCTTGTGCCTGTGCTTCTTCTTCTGCGGTGGCCTGCTCAATCCATGGTAACAATTTTGACTCAATGTTGCTCTCAATATATCCATTTCCGTTCTGTTTGGTCGGAGTACTACTCATCACCACATCCGACCAAGGCATCTCATTCGCATGTTTACCCGTCATGTTATCCCTCCCGTCAACATTCACACCATTAACATCAATATCATCTCCATTCCATGTTTCTTGTGTTTGTTTCTCCTCTTGTGTATCATTGTTCCAAGCGTGTTTATTGGAAGGTTCAATATGTGTGCTTGTGTCTGGCCAAGCCAACCCCTTGTTTTCCTCACTTTGTTCCCAAGGGGTACTAGCTGGCACGGCATAATTTGCCCACGCTGGGTCCGCATCGAAGGATTCATTAGCATTAACAGTATTGACAGGTATATGGCCATAATAATGGCCACCCACATCCCCATAAGCTCCCATATTAACCCCTGCGGAATTGTTAAGGAAATTATCGATTTGATTCGCAGGGTCGGTTTCGTTTACTAGTGTAGATTCGCTGTCGACAGTTGCATGAGACACGAAACTAATGTTTTCATTAGACATATCGTAATGCTGAGCAGGGTATGTATAGCCCGTTGTATCGAAGGGAGATTGAAGACTAGCTGTGTGCGGAGGGGTAGCAAGGCCTTGGACAAAGGAGTCAAGAAGATTAGGTTGTTGGAGATGAAGAGGTGATTCAGGCCAGGTATTATAATGTTCGAGATTGGGAAGGTTCTGGTGAGGGTGTGGCGGTGGTGACATGCACATGTGGCGTGGTGGAGCGGGGTCGACATATCGCCAGGTGGTGTCATTCCCCTCTCCAATGCGTGCTTTATGAAATGTCCAGATGAGAATTGCTCGCCGGATAAATGGCATTCGTTCACCGGCTGAAGACTGTAGTTCTTGATACATTGAGATCTGATCAACGTATTCTCGAATGGAGTTTGAAGGGCGACTTAATCCATTGCCACCATACGATTGCGGAACACGTTTCTTTTCAATCTCAAAATGAAGGTTCATGAGCTGCGTGAATGTGTATGCCCAAGTTTCAGCAGGTATGGCGACCTTGATTCGAGTCTCGCTATCAGACATTCCAAGGACAGTCATTGGCAACGCCGTACCTTCTAAAACAGGATCTCTGGCCGGGTCACCGTATAGATCCGCGGGTTTGATCAAACTCGTCACAGACTGCCAATTAGATCCAGCAAAATCCTTGCCAGGTATGGACACCTCCATTCGAGTCAACAGCTCACTATTTTCCGGAGCGTGAGTTTTCATTAGATCCAACGACACATCCATGTGAATGATGTCGCAGTTCAGATCGTTTGTAGAATGCAATTGTGCTAAATGAGGGAACTTTTGTCGCCAGTGAAGGATTGATTCAAGACTTCCACGGGGCTTTGCTAACGATAACCCCGAGTATCTATGAAGTACTAAACCATCTCTTCGAAGATCTTGTTCGGTTTTCATGACCCCGTTTCGTTCATTTGGTACAGCAAATGGTGTCATGAGCAACCAAAATGCAGCAGGCTTCATAGGATGATGATTGCTGAGTATTATTTGATTGAGTGCATCATATTGATCGTGGCGTTTACTAGGTAGTCGACCCTGCGAGAGTGCTATAAGCGTAGGGTCCTTTTTGAATGAATCTTCGAAACCATTCTTAGGCCCTTTATTCGGAGGAAAAAGACGTTGATCTGTGAAGCGTTAGACTAAATTTGAAATATCTGGCTGTAGACTTACATAATGCAGGATGAGGGGTCAGGAACCCTTTTAAGACCTGAATGTGACTAGAGACCTGTTTCCTTGTACGCATCATCGTTGGATCTGGACGTTGACCCGGAGGAAGCGTATTTTTGTATGCGATCCAAAGATATTCCTTGATGAGCTCATTCCGACCATGAGGCTTGCCCCTGAAAGAAAACTTTCGTCTTCCCATATAAGGGATAGCAAGAAGAGCTAGAATTTGTCAGTGGCCATTTCAAGTTGATGATGCTAACTCTACTAACAATCAAGAAATGCATCCTCAAGAACAACCGGCCACTTTGAGTCACCTTGAGTATTTCCATCCCGATTAGCTCGGGCTCGATATGCTTGATACTGAGGTGAATCAACTATAGGATTGCGGCTACTATGTCTATTGAAGCGTTGTTGCCGGTTGTGCCGCTTTCGAAGTTCCAAAGTATTGCCGGTAGGCAGGCGCAGAGGCTGCGACGGCAGAGTAGGCATAGAAAACATTGACCTTTCTTGGCCTCTCATGTGATGCCTCTTATTATCATGATATAAGCTTCCCGACGCCAGGTCGTGAAGCTGAGCGTTACCTGCAGAATCCGAAAGAGGCCCTTTGAGCCTTGACAGCCCACTGGAATCGTCCAGTTGAAGCTGTTGCGATGTGTATCCTGATGGCAAGATATTACGAGAATCTTCCATCGACTAGATGGTGTAATTTAGGTTCGAGAATGCTTCGACGAGTTCGAAATTCCAGTCAGTGAAGCATTTGCACCTGAATTCGAGGTAGGCTGTGTATGAAAAAATGCGTAAATGCTCGACGAAGAATCAAGATTACAGTAAAAAATGTTTGGAGGAATGGCAGCGGAAAGCTTAGAATGAAGTTGCACAAGGGAATGTCAACAGATTAAGAATGAAGTAGGAGATGCCCTGAGGGCTATTAAGGAAGCGAAGTAGATTGAATGTATATGGCTAGGATGCAGGGCTGTTTCGATGAAGATCAGCCAGATCTACCTTCATTGATAGCTCAGGTAAACGTTTGCAAACGCCACAAAGCTTACAGAGCTCAAAGACCAAAATAGCCCCACCTCTGATCTCACAGACGCAAGGAAGTCAGGTTGCGGGGAAAGTCACAACAACGTGAGGAATGCTTCATTTGCGCGAGCATGTAATTTCCTGAGTACCAATATTTCTAGAGCCTACGAGTATAATTATGATGAATACTCCAAGCACAATAGCAAAGGGGAGGCATATAATCATTACACACGATGATGGTAATCTTTATCTTTGTATGGCGCTCATCGAGGGCGGAGAGAATTTGATGAGACGACGAACTCATCTTGAAAAGTACCTTTGAACTTACTGCAACAAATAATCCCTATAGTGCTGAAGAGCAAACCACCAATAGTTAGATTTAAGCAAATAGTTTCCCTTCCATTCGATTGTGAAAGGGTTTCAATCGAGGGTTGCCTGTGCAGGGGTGCCATTGAATTGTTTGTGTATAACTTCGGCAAGGGAGATAGACGCTTGCCATTTTTGCGAACGATATATCCAGGGAATTTGATCTTAGTAGAATATTCGAATTATTGATAAATACCTACAGTAAGTTTCCTTAATCCAGATCCGCATCGTTGCCTTCAATATTGAATTTTTTGCGACCGCCCCCTGTAAGATTTTGTAAGGCAACTTTGTTGACTTGAGATCCAACTTTCTTCTGCATTTTTTCAATCTCTTCTTCTGCGTCAACAGTTTCTTCGGAAGCGAAGTCGATTACCAGACGACGGCCAAGAAGATGGGTATCCTTGAGAGCCTCTAGTGCATTCTCCGCTTCGCGAGCCGTAATGAAGTCTGCAAAAGCGAAACCACGTGTTGAGTGATCGAATTTCTTGGGCATGCGCACCGATCGGAGCTGCCCATACGTACCAAATAGTTTTCGAATATCCGATTTGGAAGCTTCGAAAGGTAAATTCTTGACAATGAGTTTTGTACGTTTGCCTGCCAACTTCTTAGCTCTATCCTCTTTTCTTTTCTCCTCGGCAGCATCAGCTCCTTTGTGCGACGCCTTAACCAGCAATTTATGATTGTCGAGTGTGTATCCATCCATTGCTTTGATT